CATAGGGAACACACTTGCTAGACTTGGTAGTGAGCCTTTCAATAACTTTATAGGTCTTAATACATCTGTGAGATTTTACTTTATATATCAGCATATGTAGCCATTATGCTCCATGTAAGCGACTCTTTCTAGACTAAGGTGTCATCCGTCTACTTCAGGCAGTAGGAAGCATTCACTCTGTCTCTCTCCGCAGCAGCAAGTCACACGGCTGCAGCAAGGGGCTAATCTGTTGCACACAGTTGTGAACACAACCACAAACTGTACAGGCACCAGGATTGATATTTATAATTTATTAAGCTTGCATTTCAAGGTCTGTGTGTCAGTTGTACAAATGTACAGTGTGGTAAATGTGCAAGGTTATACACAATTACAAATCCTTTGGCAGGTAAAACACCAAATATTTCTGTATTTCAGTTGTGCATTCAAATGTTTGCCTGGAGTTTTGCTTTAAAGTTTTAAGTTTATTCAAAAAGGATTTTAAAAACCAACACAAAGGATGTTACTGACAGTCAGTGTGATGTGTCTCTTGTGCTAATGGATGCAGAATTCATTGGAATATTCGTTCCTCTAATCCCCCCTCTGCCTCTGCCGCTACAATCTTCTGGTGCTGTGGGGGTTAATAGAGGGACTTGTCATATGCACACTCCTCAGGAGTGCAGACTATGGCCACCCTTTCTGCCCCTTCATCATAGAAGCTGCAATATAGCTTCTATGAATAAAAAACGATCAGTCAATGGATGAGGGCAGTTGTTTCATTCATCTGCTTGTTCTCCATTCATAGGTTGCTTTTTATTCATAGAATGTATGGTACATCTTCTGTGAATGGAGGAGGTGGACAGAAAAGGCAGACAGTTGACACTCTTGGTAAGTGCATATGACAGCTCCCACTGTTGCACCAGAAGATTGCAGTGGTGGGGGAGAGAAATTAGAGGGCAGTAGTTTTCAACCAATTCTGAAGCCATCAGTACAAGGGACACATTATATATCGACTGTAAGTCATGTCCCTTGTGCTGATTTAAAAAAAAAACACATTTTTGATGAAATTTTGACACCTAAGGGTCAGGAAAGGTGTGCAAGGGGACTTTTAAATTATATTTTCCTGTTCAGCATATTAGATCATTTTAGGTGTAATCTGGATGATGAAATGTAGATGGCAGAAACCATCAACAACACCTGATCAGTTTTACCTCCCTGACCAATCCAGAATAGCACAGCTGAGGACATAAATATCTGTTATAGAGACTGATAATTGGTTATACCCCTTTGAACAGGACTACCTCTCTGACCAATCCAGAATAGCACAGCTGAGGACCATAAATATCTGTTATACAGACTGATAATTGGTCATACCCCTTTTGAACAGGACTAGTTTCTATGTGTGAACATAGAGGGAGATATTTACTAAGACTGGAACACTCAGAATCTGGTGCAGTGGTTCATGGCAGCCATTTAGCTCCTAACCTCAGCTTGTTCAATTAATTCACATACACCCAGTGAAGTGACTGGCCTCAAGTGATACACAGATTAAATAAATTTTCCTGCGTAAGTACTATCTGTTTATCTGCTTTCTTCTCGTTTCTACATTGCTTCAAAGTGTTGAATTTTAAAGCTTGTCTGAGAGTTCAGAAAAAGGAATGGAGAGCTGAAATTACTCTCTCAGTGAGAAGAGCTCTGAGAGCTGATTGGAGGGAAGAGGAGCACCCCCCCTTCACAGAGGACATAGGAACAGAGCTGAAGCTGTCACTCTACTGGAGGTACCTCCCCTGTCACCATTTTTTACTTGGTGTCAGGAAAACTTGTCAGAAGGGACTCATGCTCATAGCAGAGGAAGTAAGCAGCAGACACAAATGACACTTAGTTGCGCTTATTTGAGACAAGTACACATCAGGCCCAGACTGGCCATAGGGCACACCAGGCATTTACCTGGTGGGCCGGGGCCGCCTGGCTGTGTGTTTTAAAAAGAGAGGATTGTTGACTGGGCTGCACAGCAGCAGATAAGTGGTGACCACGGTCTGAACAGGGCTACCACAGACCGTGGCCACCACTCACCTCTTATGCGTCCATTCCTATAGCAGGGCCAGCGCCAAAAAGCTATGGGGTGTGGGAAAGAAGGCCCCAGGCAGTGACACACAGGAAGCACCTGCAGCTTTAACGGCGGCCTTCCTCCTAACACTGGCTGGCACACAGTGACAGCTGCACAGTGGAGGAAGGTTAGTGTACTGATCCAGTGTGTGTTACAGCCCAACTGTCCCACTCTGCAGCCATTGGTGTGGGGGAGGGTTGTGGGGTTGGAGGTGGATTGAGCTGTCTCTTTGCTATATTGGGCTGTCTCTTTGCTGAATGGGGCTGTCTCTGCTGGATTGTGCCATCTCTTTGCTATATGGAGCTGTCTCTGCTGGATTGGGCTGTCTCTTTGCTGAATGGGGCGGTCTCTGCTGGATTGGGCGGTCTCTTTGCTGAATGGGGCGGTCTCTGCTGGATTGGGCTGTCTCTTAGCTGAATGGGGCTGTCTCTGCAGGATTGGGCTGTCTCTTTGCTGAATGGGGCTGTCTCTGCTGGATTGGGCTGTCTCTTTGCTGAATGGGGCTGTCTATGCTGGATTGTACCGTCTCTTTGCTATATGGGGCTGTCTCTTTGCTGAATGGGGCTGTCTCTTTGCTATATAGAGCTGTCTCTTTGCTGAATGGGGCTTTCTCTTTGTTGAATGGGGCTGTCTCTGCTATATGGAGCTGTCTCTGCTGGATTTGGGCCATCTTTTTGCTATATGGGGCTGTCGCTTTGCTATATGGAGCTGTCTCTGCTGGCTTAGGCCATCTCTTTGCTATATGGATCTGTCTCTGCTGGATTGGGCCATCTCTTTGCTATATGGGGCTGTCTCTTTGCTGAATGGGGCTTTCTCTTTGCTATATGGAGCTGTCTCTTTGCTGGATTGGACTGCCTCTTTGCTACATGGAGATGTCTCTTTGCTACATGGAGATGTCTCTTTGCTACATGGAGATGTCTCTTTGCTACATGGAAATGTCTCCTTTGCTGGATGGGGTTGTCTTTTTGCTATATGGAGATGTCTCTATGATGGATGGGGCTGTCTCTTTGCTATATGAGGCTGTCTCCTTGCTGGATTGGGCTGTCTCCTTGCTCCATTGGGATGCGTCTTTGCTGGATTGTGCCATCTCTTTGCTATATGGAGCTGTCTCTTTGCTATATTCATCTGTCTCCACTGGATTGGGCCATCTCTTTGCTATTTGGGGCTGCTTCTTTGCTGAATGGAGCTGTCTCTTTGCTATATGAGGCTTTCTCTTTGCTGGATTGGGATGTCTCTTTGCTGGATTGGGATGTCTCTTTGCTGGATTGGGATGTCTCTTTGCTGGATTGGGATGTCTCTTTGCTGGAATGGGATGTATTTGCTAAATGGAGATGTCTTTGGTGGATGGGGATTTCTGTTTGCTGGATTGGGCCATCTCTTTGCTGATTATATGGGGATGTCTCTTTGCTGCTCTTTTGTCAAAATATACCATAAATATGACCCAGATCTGCAGTTCATCTTACCCCTGCTTTGCTGATAGGATGACATCATCGTCAGGGAGGGAGACCCTGGAGAGGACACACGGGCTGCATCCTGCCTGTGCCCTGCTGAAAGTAGGACTGCACAGGGGAAGGCAGAGCGTAAAAGGGGGCACTCAGATTAGAGAGAAAAGGGGGCTGTGATTGCTAGGGGCACTGTGATATAAAGGGGGACTGCACTGTAAAGGGGCACTGTAATCAATACAGTGCAGTCCTCTTTATATCACAGTGCCCCTTTACATTACATTACAAAGCAGAGGAATATTCCATCACCAACCAGCAGCCACCCCCCCAGTTCCTGCAAAAATTGGCTTCTCAGTCTAAAATGCCTGGGCTTATTTTTTGTCCTAGTCTGGGCTTGGTACACACTATAGAGGGATATGCTTTGTTCATATTTCATGCCTGAGGTCTACAACCACTTTAACAATAAAACCTGGAAGCTGATTGGTTTCTATGCAGTACTGCAGCAGATTTTGCATGGTCTAGTTTTAGTAAATCTTCCCCAGTGAGTCTTAGTATATTTTTATAACTGATTTCCCTGAGCACTGTATCTTTTTTTTTTTTTTTTTTTTTTTTATGTTCTACTATTCACAGAATGCCGCTTTTGTCTTAGGTAGCTATTTATTAGTATACCATTGAAGATTTCTTTCTTTGAGAAGTGGAATTTAGATATTCATTATGTCAGGTATTTCTTGAAGGGAGTAATTAAAAGGGCCCAGCAGGAAATGACTTATTCTGCTTTGTGCAGCCTGCAGGAAAGGGATTTTTAATTGTTTCAGATAGTTTGCGTTTTTCCTGTACGTGTAATAATGAAAACCTATGTCTCTCCTGGATTGGTGTTTTTCCACTTGCACATCCCCTGTGGTGCTGTTTAGTGTTTTAATGAGTCTACATTGACTACTGGTACCTTACATGGTAGGGTAAAGAATCCATTCAGTGGTGTGATTGTGATTTATATCTGATCACATGTGTATGTACAGGACCTGTCTTCATTCCCTCAAAGGCCTAGTGAGTAGTGAGATTTAATTTAGAGCTAGGTTTTGCAGTTTTATTTAGGTTGCAACTATTAACCCCAAATCTAGCTTTAGGAAATAGACATTCCTTTTTGTTAAATACCTTTACCTTCCTAATACAGATGTAGAAAGTTACATTTCCTTTACTTCTGTGTTTCTAATGTTCCTCTTCAGCATGTCATGGATGAGTAGTCCTGAGCCGGGCAAAAAAGCCTGAGTCATGATTGCACTGGAGTTCTTGTCATACGAGTTGTAATGTCATTATGCATGGGAAAGCCCTAATCATTTGGTATATGAAGGTGTGACATATTAAATTGTGTTAGTTGTTTGCTGGTGGATATAGCTTAAGTGAATAATTCAAATGGATAGAACACAAAATGTTGCTCTTCATAAATAAAACAATCTGCCAATTTTTGTCAATTTTAGAACCAGCGATGGTGCACAGAGAACCTCAGAACGACTCTGATCACAGTGCGGAGGATACACGCAGCTGTGGGTCCAGCCGGCTGTTGTTCCACATTACAGATGGAGATAATCCTCTACTCTCTCCACGATGCTCCATCTTTAGTCAGAGTCAAAGATTTAACCTGGATCCAGAGTCTGCACCATCCCCTCCCAGTACCCAGCAGTTCATGATGTAAGTCATTATAAATGATTTCTGGATTTATATTATGAATAATTACACTGTATGATTTTCTTGTTACTTATGTGATTGCATTATGCTGCTATTAGCATGGCAATATTTGTCTGCAATACAAATATACATCAAGATTTTGTAACATACATGTTCCCTCTAACTTGAGGTAAACCTTTCATGGGGCATAGAGTGTTGATGTTGCTGACATTCTGAAAATGCCTATTGAAGAATTTACCCTGAATTCCAGCCTTACGTTTTCTTAAATGAATCAGTCAGGGATGTCTTCATTGTGCTTTTTCATGTTTATCATGTTTCAGTGTTTCTCCTATTTTGCTACATGGTTGTTCACAATGCATTGGTAGTTTCACTTTACTCTTCTGCTGCTGACTGCCTGTCTAGATGTCCTATGGCCTGACCCGGGGAAGGCTTGTAATGGGGATGGGACAGCAACATGATCACAACTTTGCAAGCTAAATGAAATTGTTTAGAGAGGAAAAAATATATATGAAGCATTGTACTTTGGGGGGCCGGGGAAGGGGATTTTGGATTTTAAAAATTTGAAAACTGGAGATCAGCTCTAATTGTTAAAGGGAGGCGACTGGTTAAAGTGATGCACATATTTTTTTTAAAATAACAAAATGTCATACTTACCTGCTCTGTGCAATGGTTTTGCACAGAGCAGTGCTGATCCTCCGCTTCTCGGGTCCCCACCAGTGCTCCTGGTCCCTCCTCCCTGCTGAGTGCCCCCAGAGGGTGCTCACTCCCAAGCCACTTCTGTGTGTCTGAAACACACAGAGCACAACTCGGCCGCCGCCCCTGCTACCTTCTCAATGACTGTGATTGACAGCAGCAGGAGCCAATGAGGAGGCAGAGTCCCTGTAGACCTGGTGATTTTGTGTACAACGCTGGATCGTGATCACGATCCAGCGTTGTACACAAAATCACCAGGTCTACAGGGACTCTGCCTCCTCATTGGCTCCTGCTGCTGTCAATCACAGATAGATTCTAAGCTAATATGAGAGCTGTTTTACCTGCCAAAAGTTCTGATTTTCTGTTCATGTTGATGAGCTTATCACGTTCACTTTCTCCTACTCTCAGTACGTTCCTTGCTAGCATTGCAGCACACCTGATTGGCTGCTTGTGCTGCTTTTCACTATCTCAGTCTGACATTTGCCATAAAGTAGATTGAAAGAAGCTCATACAAAGCCACATTCAGGTACTTGACGCTGCTTGCATTTGGACATACATTTAATGGAATATTAATGAATACAGTCCTGCATTACTTTCATTTACATTTGCTTGGAACTCCGCTTTAACACAAAATTCTGCTTTAAATATTATTCAAGAATTGTTTTTTTTTTTTAATGTCTAACATTTTAAAACCATTTTGCCATTTTATTAGGCCAAGAAGCACGTCAAGAGGGAACTGTGAAGACCCAAAAGAGCCTCTTACAGTCATACAGCTCACCAAACAAATCCAGAACCTCAAGAAGAAGATCAGGAAATACGAAGATAAATTTGAGCTGGAGAAAAACTATCGTGTAAGTAAATCCATTGTTCTACTTCAGTTCCTGCTTTGAAACAATATTGATAACTCTTGCCAGGATTATCATAAGGCCTCAGAATGCCTGAGCTTTGTCAGATAAGATTAGAATTCCTTTTGTTACTACACAAATTACATAATGTTCTCTGGCACTGCACTGACTATTTCTTACAATAGAACTTCTCTGATTGCCATTTACAGTGAAGGTCAGAAATGCTGATTGCCTGTTTCTATTTAATTTCAATTGGTCACAGTGCACAACAAAGCAGCCTGTCTTTTATCATCTATCTACACTTATGTATCGACATCTATTTGTATATATTTCTTGCTGGGTATGGGATTGATCTTTTATCTGGAAATCCCTAAGATTTAGGGTTTTGCAAAAAAATAAAATAAAATCTAGGAACTGAAATAGACAGAGTTATCCATTCAAAGGGAAGCATGGACTTTGTGTATATATGAGAAAATAAATAAATGAGATGTGTGTGTATACATGTATATATATGTGTATGTGTATATGTATGTATGTGTGTATATATATATATATATATATATATATATATATATTTATTTTTATTATTTTCCACCTAGGTGAATGCATCATCAATCCAATGCTGCATCTGTCCCCTGCCAGCTCGCCAGTGAGAACTGGGCAATCAGACGTTATTGATCTCTCAGTTCTCCCCCTCCGCTCTGAACAGAGTGCAGTGACTGTCAGTCTCTAGCTCTCTGCTCTGCCCATCCAGTGCTCACTGGAGCGCTGGGCTGTGGAGAGGGGCTGGAGGGACTAGCACTTGGTGGATTGCTGAGCGATTGATTCAGGTGCCAGTCAAGGCTGAGTGATGTTAGCCAATAGTGGACTTTAGCCTGCTTTTGGCTGAAAACAGGTCAGAGGAGTGCAGAACTAACTGCACTCCTGTGATCCATAAGAGAGGCATCGCCAAAAAAACTTTGGCTATACTTCTCCTTTTTGAAGTGAGCACTCTGTTGGGTGAAAGTAGTCATAATTTGACAGTGATATGAAAATAAAACAACTGTGGGATCAATTTATAAATTGATAAAATATGCTAATTGCCTAGATCACCTTCGGATTTGCTGCTTCATGGGTCAGCTTCATTCTTATTGGTGATCCTGACTCATTGTCCAGTGAACTAGCTGGAACTGAATAAGTGACGCTTGAAGATGCATTGCTGATTTAGGACACAGTACTGTTCTCTGGCAGGATTTAGGTTTAGAAGTTGATTCATCTTTTGGGCTAAGTTAAGGGCTCAGGCTAGCAGAAAACACCACAGCAACCTCTGAGACTGGGTTCTGGTAAAATGGTACTGATGCAAGCAAGTCCATTAACACTGTTGTCGTGATACAATGCCTGGGACTTACCGTATTTATAGAGCAGAAATTCCTAGAATGTCTACACTTCGAACTGGCACATACAGTCCTCTTTAGTAATTTCCTATGCTCTTACCAACAGCCACTTTGAGAATACTTTTGCAAAGAATTTCCCTCAAAAGTGTTCACTAGCAAGTGAATACACAGCTGGATGCCCACACTTAATATGCCTGAGCAGGGAACAGTGGTGTATGTTAGTTTTGTGGTGCCCTAGGCAAGACTACCCCTTCCTGTTTAAGATCCACCTCTTCAGGACAGGAGTATGATGGAGGACAGTGTGACATGGGGGGGGCATGGGACAGGAGGGGGGCAGCATGATGGGGGACAGCGGGACAGGAGGGGGGCAGCATGATGGGGGGCCACAGGACAGGAGGGGGGCAGCAGGACAGGAGGGAGGCAGCCTGATGGGGGACTGCAGGACAGAAGGGGGGGCAGCATGACGGGTGGGTATCGGGACAGGAGTAGGCCATCAGGACAGGTGGGGGGGGGGTAGCAGAACAGGAGGGAGGCAACGTGACAGGGGGAGGTTAGCATGATGGGGGGGCATCATGATGGGTGGGGGCAATGTGACAGAGAGCAGTATGGTGGGGGACAGCATGATGGGTGGGGGACAGGAGAGGGCCAATAAGACAGATGATGAGGGGCATTGGGACATGTGGGGGACAGCGGGACAGGAGGGAGGGAAGTTGAACAAGCGTGGGGCAACGGAACAGGTGTGGGGCAGGGTGACAGGGGGCAGAATGAAGGATGGGGGGCAATGGGACAAGGGGAGGGAAGTGTGACAGGTGGGGGGGCAGTGTGTTGGAGGACTGGTGCTTCCCCACTCCTGCTTCCAAGTCCTTACCTGTCCAGCAGCGGCTCCTCCAGATGGTGTCAGGATCACTCCAGGAGGGGTGCCTGTGTCCCATCTCCCCAAGGCAAGCGCATTGTTTGCCTCGCGGCAGATACACCCCTGGCTGGGAAGCGAGGACAATCAGTGGAACCGGCTGTGGTGAGTACACTGTTGGATCGTGGGACAGGTGAGTGACTGTTTTTTAAAATTCAGCAGCTACAGTTTTTTTTTTTTTGTTTTTTTTTTTTTGTTTGTTTTTTTTTTTTTGACTGGAGCTCTGCTTTAGCCTCAGATAAAAATTTAACCAATGCATAAAGATCTAAAAATGGAGGAAGAAACAATAGCAAAGCAGAAGGGTGGTTAGTAGAACATAGCTGGTCTGCCTATTGAAACTATTCTATATATATATATATATATATATATATATATATATATATATATAAATATAATATACAGCTAAAATTAACTTACAATCCCTATATTTTAAGTGTGTGTGTGTGGGTGTGTGTGTGGGTGTGTGTGTGGGGTGGGGGGTGGGGGTTGGTGTGTACTCCTATGTGTTGTGGTGTGTTGTGTGTGTGTGTGGGTGTAGTGTGTGTCCCCTATATTACTGGGCTTAGACAGCCAATCACCAGGCCTGAACAGTGGGGGATGTTGATGATGTACACATGTAAAGTGCAACGCTTAACAAAGTGACAAATAATTGGTGAAAAAAACAGTAAAAAATATATTGTATTAAAAAAAAAATGTCCATCAAAAATGATCAGATAAAGGAAAGTTCCCAGAGGCCATGATAAAACCAAGGAAATCCAAGGACAGCTGTTGTGTTACCAACCACTCATATAAAAGGCTTACCAGAAAAACATGACCCCCTATTAAGAGTGGTCAATCACACTTTGTTTTTTTTTCACCAATTTGTCACTTTAAGTACTGCACTTTATATGTATTACTGTTTTACTGCCTGGTATTGTCTGTTTGGTGTTCAGCTGCTATATATTTGCACTTTATCATATATTATAATTTCTTTAGCGCAGGTTTATATATATTTTGATGATGTACACATAGGTAAGCTGTTTTGTCATCTGACCCCGGAACTTACTCGGGGTGGACGCCTGCAGCGTGGAAGTGGTAAGGGAGCACAGATTTGTGTGTATAAGATGCCAGAGAAGGGGGCAAGAGTCAGGCTATCCAGAGGCGATAACACATTGCGTGAAATGGCCAGATGACATCTCTTTAACCTGGCCTGTTATTTCTCTCCCGAAGATGTTTTTCTGGACATCTTGACTTCCAATGAATCATCAAATCAGAAGTATTTTTAAAATCTTTTATTTGTTTGTGTAAATAAGTCATCCTAGTTGTTCTGTCAAAGGTTGATTTGTTCTTTTTTTGTACTTTAGCCATCTCACAGTGATAAGACATCTAATCTTGAAGTTCTGAAATGGATGAATGACTTGGCAAAGGCTCGCAAGCAACTCAAAGGTACCTTTTTATACTAATGTTTTTTTTGGCGAATACATTCCATACTGGAAATACACTGCCCAACTTTCACAAGTTACGTGACATTAACATTAAAGTGATATTAAACCCTCTGTTTTTGTAAGCACATGCAGCTACTGATGTAATCACTTACTAAGCATGCAGCTGCTTTACTTTTTTTTTTCTCCTTGTTTTCTGTCCTGTGTAACCTGGCACCATGACCGTGCTCCAGGTTTCCTGTTTCGGGGTAACTCCTTTCTTTTGTAGCATTCTATATTGCCACCTTTGCACGTAGGGACTAGTTGTCTCCCTACACCGTGTGCATCAAGAGAATCACCCAGCCCCATAGCATAAAGAATGCATTAACCACTTGCCTACCAGGCACTTATACCCCCTTCCTTACCAGGCCAATTTTCAGCTTTCAGCGCTGCCGCACTTTTTGACAATTGCGCGGTCATGCAACATTGTACCCATATGAAATTTTGATCATTTTTTTCTCACAAATAGAGCTTTCTTTTGGTGGTATTTAATCACCACTGGTCGCTTTACTTTTTGCGCTATAAATAAGAAAAGTGCAAAAAATTTGAAAAAAAAAAAAAAAGTTTGTTTCTTTTATAAAATTTTTCAAACAGGTATTTTTTTTCCTTCACTGATGTGCATTGATGAGGCAGCACTGATGGGCACTGATAGGCGGCACTGATGGGCACTGATAGGCAGCACTAAAGGGCACTGATAGGCAGTACTAATGAGGTGGCACGGATAGGCGGCACTGATAGACAGCACTAATTAGGGGTCACGGATAGGCGGCACTGATATGCAGCACTGATAGGCGGCACTGATAGGTGACACTGATTATGGGTACTGATAGACGGCACTGACTGGCATCACTGCTGGGCACTGACTGGCGGCACTGACTGGCACAACCCCTGGGCACTGACTGGTGGCACTGACTGGCAGCACTGCTGGGCTGCACTGGTGGGTGGCACTGGTGGGCAGCACTGGTGCACTGGTGGGCACAGGTGGGTGGCACTGGTGGGCACAGGTGGATGGGCACAGGTGGGTGGCACTGCTGGGCACATGTAGGTGGCACTTCTGGGCACAGGTGGGTGGCACTGCAGAGTGGCACAGGTGGGGGGCACTGCTGGGCACAGGTGGGGGCACTGCTGGGCACAGGTGGGGGCACTGCTGGGCACGGGTGGGCAGAGCTAGTGGGCGCACTGCTGGGCGGAACTTGCGGGTGTCACTGCTGGGCACCGATCATCAGGGCACTGATCATCAGTGCCCTGATGATCGGTGCCGATCCCCGCTCTGACAACTGCCGGTTCTCGGCAGTACTTTCCTCACGATCTGACAGTGTGAGGAAATTGCAGCCGAGAACCAGCACTTGCATTTCCCTGTGATCAGCGTGTCATTGGACACCGCTGATCACGTGGTAAAAGGCCGCTGTGATTGGCCTTTTACCACATCACGTGATCAGCTGTGTCCTCCCCTGGGGCGCGCAGGAGAGCGCGTTCTGGGAGGACGTCATATGACGTCCACCCAGAACTGGCCGGCCGCGGTGAAGCCGTCATTCGGCTATGCGCGGTCGGCAAGAGGTTAAGGTAAAAAATCTTCTGCCTTTTTAACCACTTTAAAGTGGTTGTAAACCCTTGCATATATGACGTGATTGGCCTCAGGTGATAAACATAGATGAAACAAATCCTCCCACATAAGTTGTACCTGTCTATCTGCAGTCTTCTCTCCTCTACATCTGTTCAAACTACTGAATGTATAGAACTTGTCTGAGCGTTCAGAAAAAAGGGGTGGAGAACTGGTTACACTCTGCAAAGCTCGGAGAGGAGTGTTCTGAGAGCTGATTGGAGGAAAGAGACACACCCCCTCCACACAGCTCACAGGAACAGAGCTGAGACTGTCAATCTGCTTGAGGTCCCTCCCCTGTCAGCATTTGTATCTTCCTATCAGAAAAACTTGTCAGAAGTGACTCATGCTTATAGAAGAGGATCAAGGCAGCAAACAGCAATGAAACGTATATATTACAGCTTCCCTGACCATCCACATGCCTGGAAATCACAATTAGCATTCAGACTTCCTAAACCATCAACACCTAGACCTAGAATATTCTCTGAACCCAGAAACCTTTCAAAATCTCAAAGGCGGGAAAACAAGATGTGGACATCCTGGCTTCCAGGTTCAACAACAAGCTGAACCAATTTGTGGCTAAAACCAGAGATCCTCTAGTCTTTCGCAATTGATGCTCTGGTGATTCCTTACACTTCAATAAATCTCCTCCCTCAACTGCTATGCAAGATTGAGGAAGAAAGGGCATGTTACACAGACCTACTCAGATTTCACATAGACAAGCCTTGGCCTCTTCCAAATAGATCAGTCAGACTTACTGGCCCCTTTCTCCATCTTGATTCTCAGTCTCTGGCTTTATGGCTGTTGAAACCCAAGTCTTAAAGAATAGGGATATTTCTGACCCTGTTGTTTCCACTTACTCAGAGCAGGAAAATCCAACTCCTGCAAGATTTTCCATCATCCATGGAAGACTTACTTGTCTGTTGCAAGGACAGGAGTCCTAGGTAGTACTCTACTACTTGTCTTTAGGCTTTTCTTCAGTCTTTTCTTGACTGCTGCATTGATTCTCATCCATAAACCTTTGCCTCACCATCTCTAATCAGACTTTTCTTTAGGGAGTTGCTCTTATAAATCCCCCCAATTCCAACCTCCTACATCATCTTGGAATCTAAACCTCATACTGTATGTTTTTCAGAGAGCAGCAGCTCTCCCAGGTCTCTCCCTCTGCTGTCAATCACAGCCAGTGAGGAGAGAGCAGGGGGCGGGGACCAAGCCGTGCTCTGTGAGTCTTATGGACACACATAGGCAGATCGGGAATGAGCAGGCTTGAGTGCCCTCACAGCAAGCAGCTTGCTCTGGAGGCACTCAATGATGAGGAGGAGCCAGGAGCGCCGGCGAGGAACTCAAGAAGAGGAGGATCAAGGCTGCTCTGTGCAAAACCCATTGCACATAGCAGGTAAGAATAACATGTTTGTTGTTTAAAAAACAATAAAAAAAAGTACCTTTTTTAATGTAATTTTAAGAGTTCAAATAACTAAATGTTTCATGTCATATTCTAATTCTCTTTTTTTCTATGTAATACATAAATCTTGCTATGCAGATATAATATTGATACATCTTGTTGCAGAGCTAAAGTTAAAGTTCTCTGAAGACCAAAATGTGCCAAGAGCCACACAGAATCAGACATACGAAGAAACATCTGTGGCATCCAAAGCAATGGAGCAGCATGGAGCCACCAGCTCACCAATGTCTTCTGTAGAGGAAACAGTAGAGACTGTATGGAAGAGGCTAAAAGAGAAGCGACAACTTCTAAATCTTCCAGAAAATTTAAAGGTACGTTTATGCCAGTCAGTTAGCTTACATATGATGTGCTGTTCTACTCTTTTGCCATAACTGCGATGTGAAGATACAATGGTATATGTTAGAAGTAGTATTTTTATACTACCGTATTTGCCTTTTTCTGCTGGATTTACAGTGTGTGCCTATATGCCAGGGCTTCTCGCCCTGCTGTTTAAAGAAGCCTGAGTCACTATTCTGGATCTAGTTAATCTATTGTCTAATAGCAAATGAATTGGAGGTTTCACCAATGAAAACAGATGGTGTTTTGGATTTAATTGCAGCTTTAGCTGATCTCTAGAACAGAATGTAAGTAAAAACAGATTGCTGCCCTATGTTAAAGGTACCCTGTACTGAAAAAATATGAAGGCTTCCATTGTGAATCTCCTCCAACAAGCTACATTTACTTATGATTTATGATTCTGTGCTACAACTAGCTTGCTCATTGGATGCAAACTAACACTCTAAGCTATATTTAGTGAAAGTAAAATATAGTATAGGCAGTGTTGGTATTGAATGTATACTATACAATATTATAATTTCATCTGGTGTTAGGCTTTGCATTTTAGTAAGACTGCTAAAGGGAAAACACAGGGTGTTGTACAATCTTAAAACATTCTGAAATATGGCCATCCCTGAAAATCCTAACTGCTTGAATACCTCCTGTTTTTAAACAGGATATGACAAAAAAGCAAATGAATCTGGAAAAAATGAGTCTCCAGAAATGCCTTCTGTATTTTGAGAATATACATGGACGACCAGTAAGTATCTGTGGCACTGTGTTGTATTTGTCTGGTCTAAGGTCGTTAAAGCAGTGTTTGCGTCTACTGGCCGTATTACAGCAATCCTTTCTTGTGGTGGGGTTTCCATAAATCTAAACATCATAGTAATAGAAAACTATAAAGACCACTTGTGGCCGCTCTTCTTTCTTGGTTTGTCATACCTGAGCAGGTCTGCAACCATGGTCTTCAGTGAAGGGAAAAGAAGTTGCACATTATGTTTTTTGGATGGAATGAGGTGACACTCGCAGTAGATGAAGTGGGATGTGACACAGAGCTTTTAGGGTTTGACACACTTTATTACATGTTGGATTCCATTTTTATTGCCAAAGACAAGAGATACATGATTGAATTGAGGATTTTTTTAAACTGAGTATTTTTTTGTACACTTAGCGACCGCCCCACATATATTTACTGTGGCAGGGCAGCCACTGTGCACTGCATCATCTGGCGCATGATCAGTGCTTTTGAGTAGTGCGCAAACCCACTACCCTGGCTGTGCTGTGAGTTGTTACAGCACAAGCTGAGCAGTGGGTCCCTGCTAATGATTGACCGCCGGGACCCGCTGATCGGCTCTGTGATTCATGGAAAAGAGCTCTGTGTTGGTAAACCACACAGAGCTCTGTACACTGACAGGCATCCTACTCCCTTTTTTTTTTTCTTTTTAATTCCCTGCACCCACCCAATACTTACCTGAGCCCCATCGTGACCCAGTGATGTGCAAGAGAGCCTCAGCTCTCCAGGGACTCTTCCTGCTGATTGGCTGAAACAGCAGTGGGAGCCAAAGCACAGCAGTGGGAGCCTTTGGCCCCCACTGCTGTCGGTCACAGCAAGTGAGCCAATGAGGAGAAAGAACAAGAAGGGCCGATCAGCTGCTGTGTGTGAATAGTCACGCAGAGCAGCAGCTCAGGAGTGAACCTGCTTGGGTGCCCCCATAGCAAGCTGCTTGATGTGGGGGCATTTGGCAGGAGGAAGGGGTCTAGAGCGCCAGTGGGGGACCTGAGGAGAGGAGGATCAGGGATGCTCTGTGCAAAACCACAGTTTGACATGTTTAATTTTTTTTTTCCTTTAACATCACTTTAAAGTTCAACTAAAGGCTCATGTATGAAAATCATTCCCAACTCCAACAAATATGTGAGTGCACACATGCACTCAAAGTAAACAAAAACACTACATTTACCTTCCCTGGCTGACCCAAATCTTTTTTTGTATCACTCCTACTCCCAGACTGCAGGTCCCAGTTGGAGGGTTTCAGCGACAGAGGCAGTTCTGTCAATCCAGAAAGTAGTGGAAAGGACTAGGTGTGGTCAGCAGTGACAATGCTGATAGCCATGCCCCCACAATGTTTTTTGTCTCACTGTAGTGTAAGCAGGCACAGACTACACACGAGTGACAACTCTGCTCTGAATTCATCAGCAGTGCAGCATCGTTGTCACACCATCACAGGAAGCTGCATTAAGTGGAGTTTTACTTTCAGGATGAACATGTATTTGTGGAACTGGGGTACTAAACTGGTGTGTAAATGCAGATACATTTATAATTAAGCGCTGGAGGCCAGGGTTCTACTTTAAAAAATCTCCCCTCTGTATTTGTTAGGGTAATAAAAATGTTTATAAAAATGTACTGTTATTTGAATAAAAAGAACTAGAACAATAGTTACCTGAACTGCCAGCTTTTATAAACATTAGTGTACAGAGAGCCTCATGCTGAAGTGCATTCACCCAATACCCCTCGTGGACCCTGTGCACTATTATTTAAGGTCTGTGTTATCGATATCTGGATTATTTTACATCCCGCCTGTGTCCTTCCAGCTGGCCATCTGCCGCTTTATGTTCAACATTTTGTAAGTCTATACAGATTTGTTCAGGGAATTGTAAACATCCCTGGTGAGAAACAGAGAAGAGTTTGGCTGGATATTGCAGATGGAATTTTTTCCAGCTGGCTCATTTCTCGTTGTAGTATAGAATATACTGTGTAGTCTGTTGTGAGTGATGTACTGTATATAAAACCGTCTTCATTAACCCTTCCAGGTCTGCTGGCCTTTTGTGGCTCTAACTATTCTTATGATGATCGGCACAGTTTGCACAGTTTTCAGTTACATAGGTCACTGGAAATAATATAGTGATAGATTTGTGGGACAAGCAATGTCAGAACCACTTCCATAATGTTCTGTTATATGAATAATAAAGAGTGACAAAAGGTTTATTATTTTAATTTTTTTTAAAAAGTTATGCTCACCTATATTATGGCACAGAGCAGCCTCGATCCTGCCCTTCTGGGGTTTCCTGCCGGGGATCTTGGTGCCTCTTCTTTTTCCGTTTGCCCCCACAGCAAGCCACTTGCTATGGAGGGCACACGTGCGTGCTCGCTTCCTAGTTGTATGTGTCTATGGAGCCACACTCCATAGACACAGAGTGAAGCTTGGCCCCGCCCCCAATTCTTCACAGCATTTGATTGACAGCAGCAGGAACTAATGGCTCCTGCTGCTGCTTGAGTCCCTGTGTGAAGAGGAAGAGATTCAGCACTTGATTGAATGAGGACTCGGGTAAGTATTTATAGAGGTGGAGGACAGCATGATTTTGCATTTCCGGGTAGGGGATGTGTGTGAGCCGCACACGCTCCCTATCCACACCGCTATTCGTGGCCTCAGCTGTCAATCACTGGGTCCCAGCCAGTGATTACTCGCCGGCACTGACGGCATTACTGAGAGAGGGAGAGAACTGTATGTAAAACAATACAGTTCTCTCCCATGTTAGCTCCTGCACACTGCTTTGTATGGCTCTGCATAGCACAGCCACACAAAGCAGTGTGCTTACAGTTGAAAGCACTAACACAGCATGCAGTAAAACGGCACACAGTTAACCCTTTGATCTCCCCACATGTTAACCCCTTCCTGCCCAGTGCCATTAGTACAGTGTCAGTGCTTTTTATTAGCACTGATCACTGTATTGATGTCACTGGGGATGTCAGTGACAACAAGTTAGTTTCCCCCCATTGTCAGAATGCCCACCGCAGTCCCACTATAAGTTGCTGATTGCCAACATTTAAAAAAAAATAAAAATCCCAGTATGTATACTGCCATTTATAAACACTATAACTTTCACGTAAACCCATTAATTTACACATATTGCGATTTTTTTTTTTTTTTTTTTTTTTTTTTTTTTTTTAAAGCAAAGACATGTAGCAGAATATATTTTGGCCTAAATTTATGACAAAATTTAGATTTTTTTTTTTATATTTTTACTGGATATGTTTAGTAGCAAAAAGTCAAAAATATTGTTTTTTTTCTCAAAATTGTCAGTATTTGTCAAAAAATAAATAACACACAGGCGATCAAATACCACCAAAAGAAAGCTCTACTTGTGGGAAAAAAAGGATGTAAATTTCATTTGGGTGCAGCATTGCAATTGTCAGTAAAATGAAACAGTGCCGTAGCACAAAAAATGGCCTGGTCAGGAAGGGGGCTAAATCCTCTGGAGGGCAAGTGGTTAAAAGAGGAGTATGGGAATGGCAAAAAAAAGCAAAACATCATACTCTCCTAGATGGCAGCAGGATTGATCCCAGCTGCATCTGTCCCCCACCAGCTCTACCTTGAGAAATGAGTGATCAAACGCCATTAGTTGCTTAGTTCTCCCCTCCGCTATGAGCAGAGAGTGGTGACTGTCAGGGCTCACTGGGGTGCCAGGCTGTAGAGGAGGTGGGAGGGACTGGCTCAGGCTCTCAGAGGCATAATAGGAGGCTGAGCCGACTACCGGTCCAGGCATCTAGGTGGATCCTGATTATAAAGTTCCTGACGTTAGCTGGCGGCAGGCTTTAGCCTGCAGTTTGCTAAAAACGGGGCACAGGAGTACAGAATGAATTGTGATCCATAGGAGAAGTATAGCCAAAATAACTATGGCTATACACCTTTTTAAAGTAGAAAAAAAACAAAATCCATTTTGGCTTTGGAATCACTTTAAACCTGGTTTGGAGATTGATTTGAGATCTAATACAGCATTAATATCTACACAATACAACTAGTCAGTGGTGTGTTTAGGTTTCATGCTGTCTTAGGCAACACAAAAATTGCCCCCCCCCCCCCGCCCAAGGAGAGACGCTGACACTGATAAACACCCCCCTCCCCCACAAAGAGAGCCTGACATTGACCAACAACCCCCCCCCCCCCCCCCCCCCCCCCCCCCCCCCCACCCGAGAGAGCCTTCCACTACAATCGCCCCCCATACACTGGCAACCCCCACCCTGGCGAGAAAGAAGACACTCACCTTCACAGCTCCGGACATCCACAGGAACAAGAGTCAGGCTCTGCATACACCATCAAGCAGCCCGCAGCCTCTCTCAGATCCCACCTGGTCCCCATGCTGTGTGTGTTTCTTCTGCCATCCTTTCTTTTGGGAGGCAGTGCTGCCCCCCTGAAAAATGCCTCTGCCTCCCATAAAGATGCCACTGCCCCCCTGAAAAATGCTGCCCTAGGCAAATGCCTTGTTTTCCTTGTGGTAAATACACCCCTGCAACTAGTGGTTTTTAAATCCCCTATTGCAGCAGTTTAGGTCACCTCTTTGCCCACAGCTCTTCTGATTTCTAACATCCAATTGCTTATGTGCCAGCAAAAATGCAGTTTTTCCCTTACATGTGTTTGGTATTCTTTGCAAAGTGAATATTTCCCTCCTTTACTAAGCTCTGGAGAAACTGTAAATGCAGTGCACAGTGTATTTGGCTTTAGTAAATCAACCCCATTATTGGAGGAGATTACAAAAGGGTGACACCAAGTCAGAATTCAGTACTTACAATAGCTGCACTTAATAAGACAGTAAATTATTTAATGATGATATATCTGTGTTAATTGGTGTTTTATATCTTCCTGGAGTTTAGCTTTAATTATGTTTGATAGCCCAACCATAGAGGAGAATATTTGAAGTAATCCTTTCCAAAGTGTGATTGTGCTGTTATAAGTAGAACAGCTGAACAGTAGCTTTACAAAGTAGGCAACCCTGCATTGAAATCCATGGAACGAAACATGATAATCTTCTTTCCCTACCTGAGCATGAAAATGAGCCATGTTTGAGCGGTTATTTGTACCAATTTTTCCGACGTGGCACACAAAAACACACAGTAGTCAGTTACTGAGCAGTATAGTACACCGCAACATATGTGCACTGCCTTAGTGCTTTGGGGGTACCGTGGTGTGTGGTGAATTGTAACGTTTGGGGTGCATTGTAGTAAGATGTAAACATGCCTTTAAAAAGGCATCTGGTATTGTGACCACTGGCTGGCATTGGGTGTTAAACCAGCATTTTTTCATCAGCTCTTTGAGTGGTGGTCAGGAAGGTGGGAGCTATGTAAAATGGACATAATGTAAAAGAGATGCACTGAAGAATAAAAGTAGAATAAAATCAAAAAAAATAAATAATAAAATAACAGAATAAAAAAATTAAAAAAAAAAAAAAAATATGACGTTCCTTTCTACAGACCATATTTCTATGATGTTGTCTTGCTGGTGTTGTCATTGTGTATGCATGTTACTCCTGCTAATTGCAGGTCTGTGGTTTCCACAGGTCAGCCATTATTTAAGAAGGTAAATTATGTAAAGCCGGAAAAATGAATGCAGGATGATTCACAATAGCATTTGTAGTTGGCTTACTAACAAGTGTTTTTCCCAGAGTTATCTTTTGGCTGGGGTTTATCAGATACAGCCGGTTGTGATCTTGTTATTCATTGTAAAGTGTATGAAAACCCTAACAAGAACTTTCCTTTTTGCTGTCTGATCTCTGATAATGTACTGTTGATCCTGCCAGAAATATTGTGAGCTGGTGATAACTTTCTGTGCTCTCTTCTTCTCTGTTGACTTTTATCCGTTACTGTGCTTCCATTTTCTATTTACTTGTGTGCATCCAGTGTTCACTGTTCACAGTATTTTTTTACTTCAATGCTATATAGAGCTTAATTTTTACAATGTAAGATTTAGGGCTAAATCAGTTTCTTGTGTTAAGTTTATGATGAAATATAATTTAAGCCAGGGTTCTACACCCATGTTTGGTTTCATTTACATGAACCCTAGTGTGTTCCTCCAGAGGTTGCCAGGGGTTCCTTGGATACAGTGTTAAGCAATTTCTGCCTCTCAGATAAGTCGCAATGACACCATTGATTCTTTTTAGCTATCAAGTGTTTTGTAAGGGGTGATTCTTCCCAATGGGCACAAATGTAAGGAGCATTCTTTCCACTGATGTATCATGAATTGTAGATATAGTAACATCATTTTTTTTACCAGGGGCTCCCTGAGACTAGATAAGTTATACCAAGGGTTAGCTATCTGTAAAGGTTGATTTTAAGGATTTATGTAGATTTTTTTAATGAAAAGGTTTTTATGTTTACTTGTTTTTTTAATGTTTTATTATATGTTTGCTCATAATAAATGTAGTAATACAACTGTACAATGTGTTTGTCAGGTCACAAAGCAAGAGAGAAGTCTTATGAAACCTTTGTATGACAGATATAGAATTATAAAGCAGCTGCTATCTACTGCAACTCTGATTCCAACAATTGTAAGTATTGTTGAAGACACTAAACTGTTTCAGTACTACTGTGTGGAATTTCTTTTAAAGTGGTTGTAAACCTCTGACATGAGATATGAACATGGCATATCCCTGTATAGCATGCACTTGTCTCAGTCCAGAGTACTGTCATTTCTCTCTGCTGCCCTGTTCCTCTGCTGTCAGCTTGAGTTACTTCTGACAGGTTTTCCTAAGACCAAGAGATACAAAGGGGGGAGGAAGCTACAGCATGCAGCCTGTGATTGACAGCCTCAGCTCTGCTCCAGTAGGCTGTGTTCGGGTTGGGGGCGTCCCTTCCCTCCAGTCACCTCTCACTGAGCTTTGCAGAGTATAACTTCATCTCCCTTCCCTTGATTTCTAAAAGCTATATAAATTCTGAACTTTGAATGGTGTAAAGCAGGGATATTGAATTAAAATTCACCAAGGTCCGGGAAGTAAAATTGTTATGAATCAGGTCCGAATCTCATGTAGGCACCTGCGGTGTATTTTTGTGTGCACCAAACCACATGTTGCTACGGTACGATTTTGAAAAAAAAAAAGGGTCAGGGACGTGTTTCTCGCGGGTAGTGCAGCCCATTAAAATGAATTGGCTGACATACTCACGATGTGTGCGCCAAATGCACATGTACAGATCTGACCCTGTTTTTACATCAGTGTCCTCAACCCGCACTGCACATCACAGTCACATCCTCGTTCACAGAAACATTCCCTCCTGATTAGTGTCCTCAGCTCCCCCTTTACATCACCCCACCCCCACTCCTTTCACAGTAGTGTTCTCACACTTCCTTGACATCAAACCCCCCCCCCCCCCCCCCCCCCCCCCCCCCCCCCCCCCCTCAACAGTACTCTCACCTTCACTGCAGAGTACTCTTCCACTTTTTACATAATCTCCCCTCATTACTGTCCTCCGCCCCACCACCACGTGTCCTCAGCCCTCACGTTATTGTCCACATCCCATATTACTGTCTTCAGTTTCTTCACCTTACTGTCGTCAGCCATCCAACATTACTGTCCTCAGCGCCCCCACATTATTGTTCTCAGTTCCCCACCAATATTACTGTTCTAAGCCCCCTCACATTCAGTCCTCAGCTCCTTTTCACATCAGCCCCCCTTCACACTAATGTCCTTAGCCCCTTTAACTTTGCCCCTCCCTTCTCCACTGTCCTACTTTACACAGACAGTGATTTGACAGACAGTAATTGATTGTAGGACTGCCCTTCATCCTAGCAACCAATCACCTGCTTGTTAACCTCAGGCAGCTCCCGCCCTCCATCCAGAGTTGTCTTGCCTCCCGCTGTCAGCTTTGTGAGGATGACAGCGAGACGACTGGGGGAAGAAAAGGCTTCAAAATGTCGGGACCACATGGGTTCGGATGGGACAGTGATTTGGTCTGCTTCTGGACCCCAGTCCGCCATTTAGTGATGCCTGGTGTAGAGGAAAGAAGGCTGCAGATAAACATGTACAACTTATGTATGAGAATTTGTTTAATTTCTGTGTATCACCTTAGGACAACCACTTCACTGGGTATATGTAAGGGTTCACAATCAATTTAAAGTGGGTGTAAAACCCAGACATGAAATATGAACAAAGCACTTCCCTATATAGTGTATGCTTGTCTCAATTCAGAGCACTAAGTGTTATTTTTGTCAGCTGCCCTGTTCTGTTGCTATCTGAATTAATCATTTCTGACACGGTTTCCAGACACCTAAAGAAAAATGCTGACAGGGGAGGGACGTCCAGCCGATTGACCGCTTGAGCTCCGTTCCGGTGTGCTGTGTGGAGGGGGGTGTGTCCCTTCCCTCCAATCAGCTCTCAGAATTCTCACTGAGCTCTCTAGTGTGTAATTTCACCTCTCCGCCCCCTTTTTCCTGAACCCACAGACAAGCTGTATAAATTCAGCACTTTGAACGGATGTAGATTAGAGAACACTGCAGAAAGACAGGTACAACTTATATAGGAGGATTTGTTTCATCTGTACGTATCACCAGTATATGTAAGGGTTTACAACCACTTTAAATTAAAAAAGGTGATGTAAGGAGGCATTAAATTGTAGACAGCATTTGCCATTTCTTGGCATAACAGAACTGTTGGAGTAATGTGAGGTTCAATTTGAAGACCATGAGTGTTTTTTTTGTTTTTGTTTTCTTCCCAACCCTTTCTGGTTCTAAAAAAAAAATATACAGTATTCAAAAGTTCTCTGGAAAGAGGAAAAAAAATACTATCTATACTTCTGGCTGCCAGTGTCTCCCACCTCTCCTCTTCCAGCATTGCATCTTCTGGTGCTCCCTGTAGCATTTGACACTTCTCAGAGTGTCAGGGACCTAAACATAAATAGTGCAGCGCTAAAAACGATATATATAACTGCACCAATATATATATAGAACAAATGGTGCAAAGTTTCTTAGATATTATCAAATTGTATAGGCCACATGAAATGTGTATAAAATTCCCAACAAAGATGCAGTAATGGCGTATATCACACACCTTCACTTCACTATATAAATGCACAATAAAATGATAGTCCAGTGAATATCTAGTGGTGAAAAAGCCACGGATGAATTGAGAATAGCTTGATAAGATCCCCGAGATAGATATAGTCCGGCGTCGTGCATAAAAATGAGTAAATTGCACACTCACAAGAGGCACAATTTAATTGCGCATTTGTGTCATATACACCAAAGGTCCCTCCAGCTGTGGATGGAAAGAAGCTTGGAACGGATGACTCTGTGATGGGGGTGCCGCATCTGGGGGTCCACTACAGTAGACCTGGCTCCAAACAGGATCAGCTGAATGTTACTCTGGGCCCTGGGATAGTCACCTTGTGGTCCTGGGGAGTTAAGTGCTCGATACAGAGCAGAAAGGAGTACCCATAGTGTAGTATTTAGGTCAAATATTGAATGAATTTATTGAAGATTAGAACAAAAACACTTTACATGAGTATCGTGGTAAAACCAATCGTTGTGCACAAAGGATATAATGAAATACACACTGACCAGCTGGTATGGGTGGGTGGCCGCCGGACCTCCTTGATCCGGCGGCTTGATGTCACGGCTAACAGGGGCTCCTCCTTGACGCGCGTTTCGTATCACACGTACATCATCAGAAGGGATAAGGACAGAGTCAGGGACCTGTTTCCCCATCACGTGCTTTGGCCATAACCTCTCACATCTATAACATGACTCAGCCGGGATGTAGGGGTCAGAGGATAGAACAACAGAATGTGATGGGGACACAGGCATCCAGAATCCCAGGAAAAGACTGGAGGAAGCTAAGTTGAGTACATTATATAAACAATGATATGCTCAGTGATAGAAATAATAATAATAAACCTTTCCTCCAATCTGTGAGTATAATAAAGTCCCAAAGATAAATCAAAAATCCATAATCAAATATCAAAAATTTTGTAAAAATCAAATATCCCTTTAAAAATAAATAAATCCAAGTGTCCAAAAATGTGATTAAATCCTCAGCCTCTTGCAGCAACTTGATTTACCTCAAAAAAACAAAAACATAAAAACCACATAGTGCATTATCCTTAATTAATACAAATTGCATAAAAAATCATCCAGTGATATTTCACCCAAGTGGAAAAAAAAAAGTGTAAACAACAAACACATGTGCCAATACACTATGTGTAGTGAAAAGCCGTGCAGGTGAATCACTCTTTATGTGCTCAAAAACACACGCCACAAAATACACTTCTACTAAAGTAAGGAGTAAATACCCTTACCAATATTGAAATAACTTTATGCCTTAGTAACAATCCCCAAGAAGACTGTATGATGGGATGAGTTTTTTTTCTGCCAGTATCCTCACATTTCACTTCAACCTCATAGTACCATGTGGATCCATCCCCACTAGTGTTTCAGACCGGTCTCCACCATATCCGCCATCCAGATACCCATGTATGAAACAAAGAATAGTGTAATACCGCCACACACTCCGATTCAAAAACTTTAATGGTACTGCTTACAGTGTTAAAATCTTTCTTATCGCATGACATATATGGAAAAAAACCTTTTTGCCGTCACCAATCCAGGAGAGTCCGAACCGCTTGTCACAGTCACTATTCCCCTCTCCAAGATGGCCGCCGCTCCACTTCCGATTCCTCGTTTGCGTCTGACGTCACTTCCTACTGACGCGTTTCGTCATTGGACGTAATCACATCCAATGACGAAACGCGTCAGTGGGAAGTGACGTCAGACGCAAACGAGGAATCGGAAGTGGAGCGGCGGCCATCTTGGAGAGGGGAATAGTGACTGTGACAAGCGGTTCGGACTCTCCTGGATTGGTGACGGCAAAAAGGTTTTTTTCCATATATGTCATGCGATAAGAAAGATTTTAACACTGTAAGCAGTACCATTAAAGTTTTTGAATCTGAGTGTGTGGCGGTATTACACTATTCTTTGTTTCATACATGGGTATCTGGATGGCGGATATGGTGGAGACCGGTCTGAAACACTAGTGGGGATGGATCCACATGGTACTATGAGGTTGAAGTGAAATGTGAGGATACTGGCAGAAAAAAAACTCATCCCATCATACAGTCTTCTTGGGGATTGTTACTAAGGCATAAAGTTATTTCAATATTGGTAAGGGTATTTACTCCTTACTTTAGTAGAAGTGTATTTTGTGGCGTGTGTTTTTGAGCACATAAAGAGTGATTCACCTGCACGGCTTTTCACTACACATAGTGTATTGGCACATGTGTTTGTTGTTTACACTTTTTTTTTTCACTTGGGTGAAATATCACTGGATGATTTTTTATGCAATTTGTATTAATTAAGGATAATGCACTATGTGGTTTTTATGTTTTTGTTTTTTTGAGGTAAATTAAGTTGCTGCAAGAGGCTGAGGATTTAATCACATTTTTGGACACTTGGATTTATTTATTTTTAAAGGGATATTTGATTTTTACAAAATTTTTGATATTTGATTATGGATTTTTGATTTATCTTTGGGACTTTATTATACTCACAGATTGGAGAAAAGGTTTATTATTATTATTTCTATCACTGAGCATATCATTGTTTATATTTTGTACACCTCTAAGGGTAGGGGTGAAGTGTGCTTATACAGGAATCTGGGATTCAGTGTGATTATTTATTATTATTAAGTTGAGTACATTACCATCAAATCCTCCAGTGACATCAAAGATTTCACGAAGGCCTGATTCACACTAGCGCAATTTCAGATGCAACTTGAGCAGCATGACAATGGAAATCACATTGTTTTCAATGGTATCTGTTTACATCAATGTGACCTGCGCACAGGGCGATTTCAGAAAAGGTTCCTGTACTACTTTGGTGCAATTCCAGTGCAATGTGGCCCAATAGAAAATATAAACCTTATCAAAGTTGCATCCTTAATCACACTGAAAGTCAGAATCAGAACCTTATTGTAGAAGTGTGAATCTAGCCTAAATGCTTTGTATTGCGCACTCTGTAATGCCACCACATGTACCAGGATCTCTGCCATTTGTACAGACTGCTTTGCCAGATGGCAAATGTTAAAAGAAAAATGTCATTCTCAAATAATGAACTTGCTTTTGCTTTAGCATGAAGAAGAGGATTCAGAAGATGACAGTGCCCAGAACTCATCCTGTGAATTCACATTGACAGCAGAACCAGATCAGGTTGTAGATGAGCATCTCTTTTACTGCAGTGAGGATCCAGAACCTGCATATGTCTCGCCTCTGGATGAAAAATGTCCAGTACGGCCGTCAGCACTTTCCATGTCCAACCTTCATGAAGCATCGATGTGAGTCAACCTAGAGCTTTTATGCTGCTTTAGCCACAAGTTATAGTATTGTGTAATGCTCATGTAGATCTTTTTAGGTTTGTTCTCTTTGCTCAGTTTCATTTTCAGTGTTTCATGCCTGACACATATATGCTGCTGGAAAATCCTGGACCTCATTTTTTCAGTGTCATTTAGATCTAGGGGACCAGAAAAATATTCATTTAGATCTAGGGGACTAGAAAAAAAAAACTGAGGCCGTTTTCACATGGGCTTCAGCGTATAAGAGCAGTGTGAACAGCAGGTTTTTGCAAAGCATTCAGTAAGCTTTGAACAGCTTTTAAGGCTCCCTTCAGCTCCTGTTTGGAAATGTTATACACATATCTTAAGAGAAGTGCTGGCTGTTGCTTTAAACAAGTTGCTAACAGACTTTAGCAGGCTTTGAACAAGTTTTAAGTAGTGCTCAAGCCTGCTAGCAGCTTGTTTAAAGTGGCAATCAGCACTCCTGTTATCTTTTCAACATTTACCAGCTGAATCTGATTGTTATTTTGTAAGATTTAACAAAGCTTGCTAAGAGTGCTGCAAATGCCTTGAAAAAGCTCACTGGTCACACTACTCTTATATAAGTAGAAACAGTTCTTATTTACCTGATCTCAAAGAGGCTCCCTCCATGCTGTTAGACCAATCTTGGCAGCCTCTTTTCCCCTATTCTCAGTCAGTCACAGGTCCCCTGATGTCAGCAAATATAAAGCAGGGCCCATAGCCCAGCTTTGATCATGATGGTCCTGAAGAGCAGCCCACCATCTGAGCATAGAGAGGAGCACAGGCTGCCAGGGTAGCGAAGGATTTGGTAAGTAGATCTGCTTATGCCAATCCCCTAGATCTAAACTGGCATTTAACCCTTGCCACTGTGGGGGCAGCGCAACTGCAAACGAGGAATTTTAATTTCCCTAGAAAAAGACTTTAACATTAAAACTGTCCATTACAATGCACCTATACTCATGCTCTTTAGTTGCATGCCTGTGATGCTCTACAGCAACAAAGTTCAAACATGAACAGTAAGGCTGATTTCAGACTGCAATGTTGCAAAAACGCGGTAAAACCATGTGTTTTTGATGCGTTTTTCTGGGTGCCTATTACCCAGCATGCACCTGTGAAATATGACTCAAAAAACTGCGCCAAAAACGCAACCACAGGTGTGTTTTTGTTTTATTTGTTTTTTTTCAATATGCTTTCCATTCATTTCAATAGGGAGGTGTGTTTTTGGTGTGGTTTTTTTTTTTTCTTTTTTTAACATGCATAAAATATGCTCAAAAAATGCATCAAACAGTAGTTTTAAAAACTTAACTGACCGGTGTGAAGAGTTCCATAGGATTTAAAGGGACGTATTTTTCTTCTGCTTTTTATAACTGAAAAACTGATTAGTGTGAAAGGGCCCTAAAATAACTGCTATAGCATTCGTTTGATATTTTTTGCTTGTTGTGGGGCAGTACACAGTGTTAATGCTGGTCACACATCACATAATGATTGTACTATCTTTAGGTTTACTGTGGGGGTCACTTCTAGTTGTATATAAATGTAATAGATTGCATACTTAGGTCCTCATACTGCACAGCTGTTGGGAACTTTGAATGAGATTGTATTTTGTGTGGCCATTTAAAGATTTACCTACTGATTGTACAAACAGTTATGCAGTATGAGGTGCCTTTGTAAACAATCTATTCAATAGTATATAAGTACATTATACAATAAGAATGTAAAGTGACCGACCAGCTTTAAGACTGCCATTGACATTCGAGGAACATCAATCCAGCAGGCATTAAATGTGATTGTTCTTGGGTATTTATCAGCTGCAGGTTCCCTACACATGAATGGTTTCACTGTGTGACCAATAGTGCCTTAGGTAAGCTATCGGTTATGCCAGTGGTGGGCAACCTTTTTTTTCAACTGAGCCAAATCTCGCCAAAACCACGATTGAAATTTATTTTGAGAGCCACATTTTTAAAACTGAAAATACATCTCCCATATAGTAAATTCATTCATCCCCCATATAGTAATTCATCCCCCATATAGTAATTCATCCCCCATATAGTAATTCATCCCCCATAGTAATTCATCCCCCATATAGTAATTCATCCCCCATAGTAATTAATCCCCCATATAGTAATTCATCCCCCCTATAGTAATTCATCCCCCCTATAGTAATTCATCCCCCCTATAGTAATTCATTCCCCATATTGTGTCAATTCACTTACCTTTGCTCCGCGCGTTCCTCTCGCCGTGTTCCCGCGCCGTTCCGGTCTTCAGGGCGGACTGTGAGAGGAGAGGAGTTCGTCACGCTGCCCTGCCTACATCCTGACAGCCAATGTTTGCCACGCTCCGCGGGCCGTAGTTTGCCCATTGCTGGGCTAGCTGCAGAGTCCTGACTTTTTTGGGGCGGCCGCCCGAGAGGAGGGAGGGGAGCGGGCGCCCAGCACACAGAAGAGCCGCATCAAAGTGTGTAAAGAGTCGCATGTGGCTCGCGAGCCGCGGCTTGCCGACCACTGGGTTATGCGATTTAAAGAAAATCGATTGTTTCCCTCCTCAACACAGTCAGGGTTTATGGGGGAATTCCTCCCTTGGAGCTATTGTGTTCTCCTGGGGATGCTGAGATCCATCCCTGTTGGGGAAAACACAATGGTTATTACTAGCTGCTATAACCACTGCCAATAATTACATTCTAAAAATCTGAGATACTGCAGATACCTAAGTCAATCAATGGTTTAAAGCAGCCTGCCCCATAGATGGATCAAATCTCGGCTGGTCCTTGCTGAACTGGCCGAGATTCGATCCATCCATGGCTGGTTTTAGTCTGTGGAAGAGGGGTGGAGAAGGGCGGGCAGCAGACCTCTTTAGTTTTGGCACATCAGGCAGAAAACCAGAAGGACCAGAGAAACTGAAGGCTCTATTTGTGCAGTCTGAGAACCTGTATGAGAGATCTCAGGTGTAAGTTCACTTTTACACATAATGGAAACCACCCCTAAAGTTGGCCATACACATAAAGCTTTTGCAGGCTAAATGGAGAAAAAAATCCTACACCGTACAGATGCAGGAATCCCCTTTTAGCGTTTACAATTTGTCAAACTACGTGAACAGTGCTTACATCTGATTCAATGCAGGCACAGATTGGTGTGTGTCTATGGACATACACAGGCCAGCACATGGGTTCCCCCTCAGCACACGGCTTGCTAAGAGGGCACTCAGAGGTAGAAGAAGCGGACAGCACTGGTGGGAGACTCCAAGAGGAAGGGATTGCTCTGTGCACAGAGCAGGTAAGCATAACATCATTTTATATTTTAATAAAAAAAAATAGACTTTAATATCACTTTAAGGGCCCATTCACATGGGCTTTCTGATCAGATCCACCTGTCTGTTTTTCTGGCAGACCTGTTCGGAGGCTTCATGTGGGTCTGTGGGAAGGCTGATATGAACAGACATGTGTCCTGCCTACTTCCATGTCTGTTAAGGTCTAGGGAAAAAAAAACATACGGAAAGGACTGGTCCTTTTCCATTTTTCCTGACCTAAACAAGATGCCTCTGAGATAGTCTGATCCATAGAGCCAGCATGGGTCCGCTGTGTAAATGCAGACACACAATGAACAGGCACAGATATAAAAACACTGACATTCATCTCCTTCAGCTCTGATTCAGCAGGGGATCTGCTCACGGATCACCTGTGGAGCAGAGCTGCTCTGTGTGAAAGGAGCCTAAAGGTTGATATAGTTGATCTGAACGTGTCCATTGTACACAGACAAGATCATGCTGGAAGCAGCTTAACCTGGCTGTAGCTATCACTTGCAGGTATTCTAGACTGCAGCTCACAGAGAATTAGAACATATAGGAAACGTATTTGTAGGATAAGCTCACTCATATGATAACCCAAAAAAATTGTAAGCAAAATGTAATCATTTTAAAACATTGAAGAACAAAACATATTGAAATGTCATCATGGCACTTCTGTTTACATTTTGGAAAGTGTACTTTTGCTGTTTTGTATAATGACTTCCATTGCTATCTTTTACAATGTTTGTTAGATGTTTTGCTGCACCATACGGACATTAGTCATTGTACATGGTCAACTAATATGTAAAAATGTATTTGTCATTTTCAATAAGGCCTGAACTTCTTGATCACCTTCGAGAAACCAGAGCAGATAAGAAAAGGTTAAGAAAAGCTTTAAGAGAATTTGAAGAGCACTTTTTACGACAGACTGGAAGGTAAGAGGTATTCTGGGATGAATCTGTATAGAAGCGTGACTTGCCTCATTCTTTTTGCTTGTCTTGAGATGTCATAGATAAACAGTCTGTTGAAAAAAAACAGTGCTTTTTTTTTTCCTTCAAATTCCTTATTTCTGTGACCTGTTCAAATGGTATAGGGTATTTTGACCATTAGATCTACCCCCCCCCCCCCCCCCCCACAAATTTGAGTTAAAATACATTGTGGGGAATTTATCAGAATTGTAGCAGACAGAATTTTTAAGCAGCTCTGTATAGCTTAGCATCTTAAGGTAACCTTTGATAATTAAGAAAGACAGAGGCTGATTGTTTGCCATGCATAGCTTTTTCAAATTTTGGCTGTTCCTATTTTGATAAATTCACCTCATTTTTTAACAACTGGATAATTTTAAACATAGAGGATAACATAGAAAAACTTTTTCTAGGATGCATCTCCTGTGCTCAACTCCTCTTTCTCTGCTGCCATTTTCCCTCTGCAATTACCAGCTGTCAGAATGACAGCTGTGCCTATGTAAAATGACACTATAGTGTTACGCTATAATTCATTTTTCATTGCTATGTAAAATATAAGGTATAATCCCCTTAGCTTTTTTTTTTTTGTACCAAATATTTTATTTATTTTTTTTAGTATTTTTTTTGGTCATAATATTAAAGGATAAGTTCACCTTTTAACAAAAAAAAATAATAAATGCAAATTTTTTTTGCAGATAAAAAAAAAAGTGTTTGTGGAGCCTCTAAAACCTTGCACCAGCAATCAGCAGATCACTGGTGCCATGCAGGTCTCCCCCTGACCTGTCAGTATATCTTCTTGCTCGTACATCCCATACGGGGAAGCAGATATTTACAGACAGGAAGGCTCGATGAACTACCACGGTACTGTGGAGCGCCGACAGCCACAAAGGCTGCTGGGGCTTGTAGTTTTCCCAATTGCAGAATACTGTGACGTGACCAGGCAGGTGGAGCCCCGCACAACAGTTTTTTTTTTTTTTTTTTTTTTTTTTTTTTTTTACATAACAGCTAGCAGGGAGGAGAAGATCCCCCACTAGCTGTCACAATGGGAATCGGAGGGGGTGTGGGGCTGGACCGATCATAACATGTTACACCTTGAGTATGAGTGACATGTTACGAAAGGTGAACTTATCCTTTAAAACTGAAGAAAGCTCTCTGTCATTTAAAATAATTTGTTTGCACCAAGCTGGCCTAAAGGAACTATTAATGTATGAATTATATGTATCATCAGCTACATAGGGTATAGCACTGTGTTTCAGCAGCAGGATGGGGACTTGCCATTCTGTACCTTGGACAAAATCGAGTTTGGGTTGAGCGCTGCTCAGCCATTCACAGGAAGCTTGGTATGAATGATTACAAGGTTTCCTTTGATTGGCTGAGGTGGAGATCATGATGTCATCTTCCCCCCTTTGTGTAACTTCAAGTGTACTATGTAAAAACGTCTACCCTGAGTGATACTGTGGCTCAGAATTCTCTGTTATACGCTACCCTAAGTAATGCTCAAGGTTAACACTAAGGTAATGACAAAGTTATCACCAGCCAACAGGGAAAGCAAAACCTGATTCAATCTATGGACAGGTATGAGAGCTGAAACAGTTAAAGCTCACCTATCAATGTAAAATTCACCAGCACAGTGGCTGGTCTTTATGAACACCCTTTAGTGCCGGTCCACATATATGCGGATTAGATGTGGTGTGGACCGCAGCCAATCCACATGAAACCTGAAATAACATTGCTTCCTGTGGTGCCTGTTCACATATGTCTGGTGCATTGGCAGTGCAGATTAAAAGAGAGTTCTTGTCCGATTTCTAACCAGTGCAGGTTCAGGTGCAGATTACAGGCTATTGACGTCTATGAGAACCACTTATGTCATCAGTTGTGAATAGGATTTCAGTCCCCCCCCCCTCACCTCAGCAAAACCAAAAAAGCCTTGCAAAACCGAATCCAAACTGACCCTGAACCTGTGAACAGTACGTTCCGAAGCCGTCACAAACACCGGTCCTGCACCGGCCCTACCCCGCTGAATAAGTAGGTTGCAGTTCGCACTGAAACCAGGCCTTGAAATCCAGAACGCACATGTGTGAATCGGCAGTCTTCTCAGTAATGAATGCTGTGTTATTGATCTGTAAAAGAATGCAATGCCAGTGGCCTTCGTAGTTCGCCCTACAAGTGGCAGGGAGCTAACAGAGTTTGTCAGGTCTGGGTAGAGTAGATACTTTCAGGTGAACAGATCTTCCAACACCACAGCCCTTGAGCTTCTTGCTTTTGAGGCACATATTAAAACAGAGGGCTGAAGCCATAGAAAATAAAGATGGCTAGACCTAAAGGAGACTTTTTGGAACAATTGCAGAAGTAAATGAAAATGTGTTGTCACCAAACCACAAAATCTATTCTGTGTCCATGAGTGGTCTGACTTGGAGTGAATCTTTTCCTCAAATTTGTTTCTTCTAAAGAATGAGATCTGGCCTAAACTCAAATGAGGGTTTTAGAAGCTTTTCAGCAAATATGGAAGCGTTGACATATAGGTGGCAATTCAGTCCACCATTTGCAATGCTATTCTGGCATTCTTGTCTGAAGATGTCCTGCACTAAATTCAGAAAAGCAGTGCAACGTTTTTAATGCCATTGCTTATGTTTGTAACAAATTCAGGCAGCTTATAAAAGCACCATTTTTCTGTGCAATGGCTGTGACTAATTCATAAAGAAATACACCTGTTTTGGAGATAAGGCGGTAAATAAAATCAATGTCATTTTGGAGTAATTTGTGTTGGGAATGAAGAGTTTCGCCCCCCCCCCATGTTGCTTGTCAGCATGCTGGCAGTTCCTGAGGCAACCAGCAACTAGTGATGCCCAGCTGCTCAACATCATTGGGTGTTAGGATACCAGCAGCCCCTAGGCTACCAGTGTCCTAGTAACCAATAATGCTTGGCTGTCAGCATCCTTTAGACCTGCGCCCAATTCAGGCTTTGCTACAAATGTTTGACTTGTTTTTCCACTTTGTGGCATTGACAAACATTTGTCTTTTGGTGGTGCAGACACGCTATGCCTGGAATAGTGTTTACGCAAGTTCTAATATATAAAGCAGCTAATTATTATATAGATATGTACTGTCCCCCATGTTTTTATAGCCATAAAATATTTTCTGTCAATGGAGAAGATATTACCTAACCATAAAGAAATCAATTTATTTACTGTTGAGAAGGCTCGGATTTTCAACTTTGTACTCTCCAGTGGTGTGGATTCCCAGACCAAACTGTGGGAAGCCCAGCAAGAAATCAATGCTGTTCTGCACATGAGTGAGTGTTGCATTTCCACAAATGCCATGCCACGCTTTAAAAACCCCATGCAGAAAGCATTAACTAAGGCACCTCTAGCTCTTTCTTCTTTTGATAGTTTTATTTACATAGATGTTCCCCAATATAGTCCTAAACAGTGTGGGATTAATAAACCGCTATTTGTCTGCACAGCAGATCTACAAAAGCAGGGTGGGGTATCTGTGATGAAGGTAACTTCAGGTCTCACCCACTGACAGCAATAGAGAATTTGGTTGGTAGACCGCATTCATTTAGCCCAAAATAGAACAAGTTTCATTGCTGTGCTCTTTAGTGACCATTGCTTCAGATGAGAATATATACAAAGAGGCTGCAAGCCACAGAATGTGAAACTCATGGTTATCTTTATCCCAGATTCCCCTTCTCATTATTGTAGACCTGCTGCACTGACAAGTAGCTGTATAAAAGATAACTTCACAAATAAATGCAAATTTTTTTTGCAGGTAAAAAAAATGCATTTATTATCTTTTTTTTTTTGTTAGGAGCCTGTAAGGCAGTGCATCCGCGATCAGTATATCGTGGGTGCAATGCCACGGTCCTGCAGACACTGTGTAACTGTCTGCCCATACCTCCGATACGGGCAGGCAGTAACACAATGACAGGAAGCTCAGTGAACTTCCTAGAGAGCTCAACAGTGCCCTGGTAGATCATTAAGAAACAGCCACAAAGGCTGTTGGTACTTGTAGTTTTCACATTCATAGAACACTGTGAATAAATGACACGGGCGGAGCCCTGCTCAGATGCACTTTTTTTTTTATTGTGACAGCCAGTGGGGGGAGAAGATCCTTCGCTATCAAAACAGGGAATGGGAGACTGGTGCATCTGTAACATGTTACACCCTGAATATGGGTGTAACGTAGCATGTTACAAAAAGGTGAACTTGTCCTTTAATAACAGCACTAGAAGAGGCTGCATATCTGGATGTGGTCTCCCTTGACCAGCACACTACATTTGCTGAAGCTCTGCAACCTTTACCAGTTATGTGTATTACAGATTGTAATATGTTCATTTTAGTGTCATCTTCACCCTATATTATGTTCCAGGAGCGCACAGAAAGAAGACAGAATACCAATGGCTGAAGAGTACTGTGAATACAAACAGATAAAAGCCAAGCTTCGGCTCCTGGAAGTCCTGATCAGTAAGCAAGATGTATCTAAAACGATTTAGAATCTCCGAACACACCACAAGCGGTATTCTGAAGACGAAATTTTGCTGTATTTCTGCACACATGTATGACACTGAAATGCTGATGCACTTTAATAGTTATACACTACCTGGTAGGGATAACAGTAGCAAGGGATTGAAAAGGGATAATTCAAGATCTGTCGACAAGACAAAATACTCCTAGTATCTGGAGCTATAAAGCTGAGGAGGAAAGATCAGAGATGTTTTGCAAACCAAGGCACCCAGTCCGCCTTTGTAAGGCTGAATGCCACGAAAGGATGACTGGCAGCTGGGCATCATAATAATTCATTGCTGCATCGTGTTAATAAAAGATATCCCTATTGTGCTTGTTCCGTAAGGCACGAACCAGTAACCCATAACAACCACTCGTCAACAAAGGATTGATTCTTTGACCACTCGAAATTTAATTGCAGTTGGTTGTTTGGCGTATGTACATTTTGCATGCTATCCTTCTACTGCTTTACTGAACAAGTCTGAATTTGAATGTCTTTTAGGAAGATGAAGGTACTTGGCATTATTCCTTTACAATCTCCAAAATAATCTGCTAAAGGGCATTATGGTTGTAATCTGTCAGAAGTTCTTTAATGGGATTGACTTAATAAGGCTTTTATCACTTATGTTTGTGTAGTTTCATTTTGCCAATTTACTAGCATTTTAAAAAAATACAGATTAAATTTTCATCCAACCCTTTAACACTTACAGTAAGATTTATGTATAATAATGAGGACCAGAAAACGTGTTGCCTGTAACAACCAATCGGGTGTTTGCTTGCGTTTGTAGAAAAATGATGACTGGTATCCTATTGATTGGCATGGGCAATGCCTCAATTTTCCTCCAGCATTTATACATGAATCTTTGTTTCTCTAATGTGCTTCATTGTTAGAAGTGCCTTTGATATGTTGCAGATGTTACCCTCAAAGCTGATATCACAGTTGATGTACATTAATAGAATATTCTAGATTCCAGAACGTGATCTGTTTATGCACAGACTGTATGTGTATATATATTCTCTGGTCATATTTTTAATATTGAGGTGTGGTTTTTTCCCCCCCACTATTTGTGCTAGTTTTGGTAAGAAAACCACACTTTGTCTTCTACAACCAAAGGCCAATGATGTAAGCAACAAGACTGCACTTTCTAAAAATGGTATTATTTAATCTATAATTGGAGAGGCTGATTTAATTCTTCTAGAATGGAACATGCATCTTTGTGTTCCACATTGGGAAATTAATCAGCTCTATCTCTAGTGTTTCATATCTAGTTTTGTGGAATATATTGTAAGAGCAAAAGTATTTTTTAAAATATTTATTTTCTTGAACATCTTTGTAAAATTAAAGCAGCATTGCATATATGAAAATATGTAGTTAAATATATTCAAATGGCCCTTTTAACAATATTCACTGAATGAGGTTCTGGCATACTGACTACCGTGGACCTTTTTTGTTGCATATTAAGCAGCTAGACATTTTCTATTTATTTGCTTTTCATTTGATGGTTTTCTATACCATAATACTTATTAGTGTGTCCATAGCCTTGTACTTCCATCCTTTTTCACAAAATGTCGTTTTCAATTTGCTATTTTGAGCAATTTGCATACTATATGCAATGTGTAGCCTGGCACTGTAAAGGCAAACACACCATCCTTTTATTTTTCATTATTTTATTAATGGAGTCAAACATTTGCAATGTGTTGCGCTAATGCATTGCAAACGTTCTATGTATTGGGCAGATATTTGTCACAATTGTGAATCATTCCGCCCCCAAATTGTATATTCATTTTTAGTAGAGGCTGTAAAGTTAAACCCTATATTTCCAATGTCACTTGGGGTCTCCAGTAACAGGATCTCTTCAGTTAAGTTCCTAAGTCTGCACACCTACCCATGACAAAGGGGTACAACGCCCTCTGTTGGATTTCTTACGGTGTTACAGGAGCAGTGGAAATACCCCTTTTATAGCAGGTAGATACATATAGCTAGTCAAGTTGGGGAGATCTTACTACTGAGGTCCACAAAAGACATAAGCCAGCCAGAGTCCACCTACAGTTCAATAAGGATTTTTCAGTAGCCTGCGCTATTAAATGAACCGTGTTGAGAAGTTTTTTTTTTTTTTCTTTTTTTTTAAAGCTGACACCTCCCTCAAACTCATGCACCTTTTGGTTTGACAATTTATTATTTTACCTTAAACCCCCTTCAAATGAAAGATGAGCCTTATTCTTTGGGTGAGACTAATGAAAGTAGTAATAAACTGACCTCTTACAATAAGCAGCTTCCTGCTGAGAAGTGATAGAGGGAGGACAGTCTTGCCTGTCATTTTAACAATCAGAATGGTTGTGTTTTGAAGGTATGGGTTCGAGATTACATAGAGCTTCATTTTTTATTGGGTTTATTCAATAAATCACCTCTTTCTTGAAATTTGATTACTTCCATATCATGACTCCATGACTGCTGTTTGCAGTGGGCTGTGGGCACCAGTGCATGTTTAAAAGTAAAGATACAAGTCTGCAGTAAGTCCTGTGTATCCCCATTGCTGTACATCATTTCAGTAGTGAGAATAAAAAGATATAAATAGCACTTAATGTTTAAAAATTAAAGAGTATGGGTAGAATAAACACAGTTATTTTTAAAGGAGTTTTCCTTTAGTTAAATTAGTTTCAACTTCCTGACATATTTGATAATGTAATCCATGGCGTTTGCCTCAGCAATATATACTGCATTAAAATTTGACTCTTGTTCCATTTTGTTTCTAGACTTTCTTAAATATTTTGAATGTTCCCTACTGGGCACAATAGGAAGAATTCAATAAAGTACTGGTTTCTAGGAAGCAGGCTGGCAGCACCCTAGCAACAAGCTAATGACAAGGGACTGGATATGGGTAGTGGGTGGATGCTGATGGGTATGCTCAGAGACTAGTTCCCCATCAGGTTTGCCATCCTTATGATTGACAGCAGGCAGTTGTAGGCAGATTTACCAGCTGCTAGTGAACTCAGGAACTAGTTTCTCAGAATCCCAATTAGGCTTTACCCACTCAGCAGCAAAATTACCACCCACTGCCAATCACCAGGGAAGCAGACTTGAATGGGAAATTATTCACTCAGAACCTCCATCAGGCTCCTTCCGCCTAATTGCAAAGGTCCTTGAACGCTGCAGCTGTCTGTGTGATAGGTGCAATGGCCAGGCATGGAGCTTAGTCCTATGGACACTCTGGCCTCAGTAATTGCCTGTGTGTGTGTGATCAATTCATGTATCGGTTTCTGACAGGTACATGAACATGTCTCAAACACCAACTTTGTCATGTGGAGCTGCACTCAAATTCTTTTCACGTGAGTTTTTTGATTTTGCAGAACGTTAAAGTACATCCGAAATGTGGTAGATAAACGCATACCACGTATCCTTCAGCTTCTAATTCACAACATACAAAATTCAGGCAGACTGAGACATTAATGTTTTAGCTGTGGTTTCTGTGACCACAGTGATAAGAATTCTGTAGGCTGCGCTCCATGACAACAGACAAAATGTATCACTAAATACAGGGCACGCCAGAGCATATGCTAACCTGGCAGACAAGATGGTCAAATCCTATTGTAAAGCTGCTTATTCTACTGCCTTGCCTTACCATAACAGATTTAACAAAAACATGGTGGTGTGTCAGGACTGAATGTTACAAGATGGCCATTGTGAACAATTTTCTAAAATATATATATATATGAAAAAATTGGTATGTTTTGATAGCCTTATTTATATTTTTTTTTTCTTTGTGGGGGGTGGAAATATTCATACTTCCAACTCCCTCTAAATCACCTTATTCATGAATGTTAAATATGCAAAGCTGCCTTAATACTGTTCTTTTCATGTTTTATTATCAAAGTTAGAAGTCTTATTCCTCAATACAGTAGGCTGTGTGGACTTTGATGTATGCTGCTAATTTCCTTTTTCTACTCGTGTCACTCACAGGCACTCACACAGAGAAAACCACTCAGACCGTTTTTGCTGTTGTGCTAAGCACTTGTCCTTTTTCTAAATATTCCTACTGATCAAAATCTACTTTCTATTTCTCTTGTATCCAGAATGCATGATTTTAAAGCTGATGTTTTAAAATTGTTTATTGGGAGTGCAAAAAAAAAAATTTGCAAGTGAAATAATTTTCATGACCTTTATGTGATGTTTTTGTTATGTTTTGGATTTTTTTTTTTTTTTTTAAACACTGTATAAACCGGAATGACTTTAGTTGTTTTTAATTAAAATCTTCGAAGCAAGAGTAACAGGAACGTATACACGATTCAATGAAGTTTACAGTCTACATCTTTGATAAGGGAAAAATGGTTTATGACATGTATACAGTTGCTAATAAAATGTGCTCTATATATTCTATATGATTTGTAAATATTTTATACAACGGTACAAATAAAATATTTTTCTATCATATTAATGATGTTGGAACACAGTATTTGTTTCCTGATAGCTAATATCGTTTAACATTTAACATATGTCGAGCCAAGTTGGAAGTGCTGATGTCTCTAGGCTTTGAGAGCTCACTCATGCTGAAATTTACAATTTTCCATGCTATTTGTTTAGTTCCCAATAGGTTTTTTTTTTTTAGTAACTTAACATAACTGCTATTTAGACACCCCAATAAAAAGCCAATATTGATAAATTTAACTTGCTAAAGCAGTCTACGTAGAGTTTTGTTATGTTTGGCAAAAAAATTAAACATTTGAAAAAGCGACAAGAAATAAAAAAAAAAGGAAAGAAAAAAAATATTTCAACATCTAGGTTTAACAATTGGCAGAGAACAAAATGGTTTGTAGTGGTTAAGAGCAGCATCAACTTCACAAATAATAAAAAAAAGTTTTAAAAAAGCTTTTTAAATCCTTTGCTGCAGGAGGAACTACAGTGCAATGCCAAGCAATGCCTTGCAGGCTTCGTCAGGCAGCGAAGGGGTTAAGGAGTTCTAGTTTCATTGTATGCTTTTGGTGACAGCTGCATTTTGCATGCTTCCGGACAAAATGTCTGGTAAGAATGACAAGGGAGGGTTAAACTGCTTTCACGGTGGGTCAAGTGGGGCTTTTAACGTCCAACACTGATGTTGCAGGTCTTGCAGCTGGGATCTTTTTTTGCATCGGCAGTAGACAAGCTCATGAGCTGGTGGCCAATTATTTCTGCCACTGAACCCCAAGAAAGATCTACAGGGTCAGTGTAAATGACTTCCAAGATTACGTCTTGAGCATGGTGAAATACCAGACTGCCGTCCTCTTCAGTGCAGGTCAGAAATTTGTTGTCATTCAGGCTGAGCTGAGGAAGGCGCTGCTTGCAAAACTCATCTCCTGGTGAGCCCACTGGAGCAATAACCACAATAACATAGTGATAAGCTGTGTACATACAGTAGAAGTCCCCAAAGTACAGGTTGGTGTTTGGGTTGAAGAGTTTTTCAGCAGGTATCTCGACTCTGTATCTCCCATATGGGGAATCTTGTGGAGGCTTCCCAGTGTTGAACTCAGTGTTGCAGCTGAAGAAGACTCCTTCCAGTTTGGCACTGATTGGGGAACCATGACTGCCACTGTTGTCTTTTGGTGAGGGCTGCATGACATTCCCATGATGCTTCCTAAAATGAAAAAAAGCATGTAAATGTATTTATTACAGGTACTTATAGAGCACCATCAATTTGCACAGCACTTTTACATACATCTATTATATGTTCACATCAGTCCCTGCCCTCAAAGAGCTTACAATCTAAGGTCTCTAACTAACATTCATAGGTACACATATTAGAGACAATTTCGACAGGAGCCAATTAACCTACCGGAATCTCTTTGGAGTGTGGGAGAAACTGGAGTACCCCAGAGGGAACCTATGTAAATGCAGTTAAACATGTCCTTTTTTTCATTAAAAACAATTAGCAAGTCTAAATTTGCAACCAGTAGAATCTGACCACTGCTGATCCCAGAGAGCCGCAAGCTCTAGACACCTTTGCTCATAAAATGGAGACCGTGACATCCAGATTATCTGTGTGGTAGACTCCTAAAGTCTAATATAACACAGTTGTCACCTGAATGCTCTAAGTCATGGTCATCAGAATTCTCACTTCCATGGTTTTTCAAATACTTGAATAATAAAAAATATGTGGCCTAGTACAATTCAAGGTAATTCAGAGGAGGTCTGAGGAGAGTTTTCGTTCTGGAATCACTGCCCCATTGAAGGAGTTTCCCCTTTTTAGGAAAAGCAAAAAAAAAAAAACCCTGACACATGCACGCAGGTCAGACTTTTCCAACCTTATCGAAGTTATAACTATTTAATTTCAAGCCTCTGTGTATCCTAACCCTTAATGTGAATTCCTGACACGTGTCCATTTTTGCTCTACATTTTTCCTCTATTTGGCAACAATGCATCTGTTACCTAAATTCTGTCTTTTTGTTCCATGGATCTGTAAAGCAGAATTAAAGGATAAATTTAATCACCTTTTGGAAAAAAATAATGCACATTTTTTTACCAGCAAAAATGTGCATTTATTATTTTTGTCCAAAGGAGCCTGGAAAGCAGTAGATCGCTGATGCCATGAAGGTCTCCTGCAAACCTGTCCGTATATCTGCTTGCTGTAGGGGATGAACAAGCAAGCATATACTCTGAAGCTTCAATGAACTACCACAGCGCCCCACAGCACCGTGGTAGCTAATTGAAAACTACAAGCCCACTGTGGCTAAGGCTGTCGGGACTTGCAGGTCATTCATTCACGAAAGTCCACGAATGAATGAGGTGGCTGTGTGGGTGAAGCCCAGCATAACCGCACTGTTTTCAAATCTGACAGATAATACAGGGAGAAATTTCCTCCTACTATCTGTCAGAGGAAGGGGGGGGGGAACGGCAGGCGTGGCTGCAGCTATAAGAACATGTTACATGTTCAACCCTAAAAATGGATGTAACATGTTCCCAAAGGTGAACTTATCCTTTAAAGCCTCCAATACTTACCTACACAACTCCCTCCCTGACACCAGCATCTTCATTTGGTTTTCTTCTGCGTTCAGCATTTTCACTATCTGTACTGGCTGGACAAGAATGACTTTGCTCCTGCGCATTCATCCCAGGGCAGAGAATATACAATGAGGTGCACACAATCATACCCTGTAGGCGAGGGGATATGAACGAAAACCGGAGCATGCCGAATTTTGTGCAGCAAAAGCAAGAAAAAAAACCTAGAAACCGATTGGGTTACCATGCAGAGCTGCACCAGATTCTGTGTGCTCCAGTTTTAGTACCCCCCCAGTGTATATTCATAAGACGTTTGAGAGCAACAAGGCTTCTCATTACAGAAAAGCACATACTATAAACTGAAAAAACATTTTTAACCTGCCTGCTCACAGATTTTCATCTGTGGAAAGTAAAGTCGCAACTTGTAAATAGGTTCATGAGATTTCTACTTGAAAATATTAGGTGACAGAGGGGTTTTAATGTTTGTCTAATGTCAATATACATTTTTGGGCACATTTTACAGAATCTCCGTTTAAAAGTTGCAGAAAAAAACATCTTAATGTTCTGTTACCAGGAGACCCATTTTCCTCTTTACTGAGATGTATTAGGTGCAGTGCACACATTAAACTGGGATAATCCACAATAAAAAACAAACTGTACATTATAAACTCTGATACAGTATATGCTGAAGTGGATGCCACTCAAAACTGATACCCGGAGTGCAAACAATGATAGCAATGATAGCATGGTGTAGATGGCCTCAGCCGCTGCTTCAACCACACCCCTTCAAATGCATTTCGCCCCACCCATCGGGGCTTGGTCACAGAGGCAACTGTGACCAAGCCCCCGATGGGCGGGGCAAAATGCATCAGAGGGTGTGGCTGGAGCAGCAGCTGAGGTCACCTACAACATGCTTTCATGATTTGATTCTGGGGATCAGTTTTGAGTGGCATCCGCTTCCACATATGTCTCATCAGTTTCTGGAATGACCTGGGCCACTGCTCCCCTCTCCTTTCTCTGCCAGCAGGGTGATTTTCAGCTGTATTGAGCCTTGAGTGGCACCACAAGTCTCCCATATGGATTATAAATTGTGAACTTTTTTTTTTTTTTGTGTTCGATTTGTGTGCTGGAAAATGCCCACACCTATACAAGAGTAAGTAGCCACTTTGTCAACTCTCGTACATCACTGCTGTCCCTTAAACCTTTGTACTGCTTAATTTTAGATTAAACAGCTGTAGTGTTAATCACAATGTTTGGAAAAGTATATACCGGCAAGACAGTTTGAACACAACTTAAGCTGGCCATATACTAGTTGTGTTTCGAATGAAAAACATTTGTACAAAAATGCTCAGTAGATTCGATGACTTGAATGTCATACGAAAGTACTTTTTTTTTTTTCTTGCTTTTAAACATTCAATTTTTGGCATGAATGGAGTTTCTTGAAAAAAAAATCCTAAACACTCTTAGAAATTAATGTGCGATACATTTTCTATCCATCTCTTTCAAATGTTCATGTCTCTGCAGTTGAAGACGATCATCTGTTTGACCCCATTTACAATTAGAAAATCGAACAAATGTTCCTATAGTAGTTGAATTTTGTTTCATAAAATTTTTGTTTTATGTCCAGCTTTACTGAAAGGCTAATCCCCAAGTTTAAATTAAATGTAAGGAAGACAAACCCCTCACAATTGTTTTTTTTTTTTTATGAATGGCTATTAAATAATAGGGAGCTCCTCAGTACTACTAATAGCAATATGGCAGAGCCTTCCAACTCTGAGGCAACACCAAAGGGGAGAGATCTGACAGCCTTCACAGTTTGGCCTCTCCAGCTGTACACACTCACTGTCATCTCTATACATAGGAGGGCAGTACCAACTTAAGGCTCACCATATCTTTCCATGTGTTAATTTCAATGCAGACAAGTAAAAGGTAGGTACCCTTTGTTCCCATTTCACCTCCAGTAAGAATTAATCCCTGCCTCATGTACCAGCTAAGGGCAATCCTTTTATAATTTTACAAAACCTATGCCATCTCTTAAAATTGCCATGTGTTCATAGGATATGATGAATAACTGCTTTGCCTGTTGCACCCCCATTTATTGATTGTGCTCAACTTATGATTAATAGACCATTGGATACGTGGTTAAAAGTAAGCCTTAAATGTAAAATGTCAAAAAATGCATTAAAGGAAAACGCTTTCATATATAAAAAAAAAATAGGATTTCTTAATTGTACAGTACAGGTAGAATGTAAATAGACCTTTGGTTATAGACTGCTACCTTCAGATGATTCGACACTGGCAAAGCTTTTGAGGACATGGATCAGGACCACCCTTGTAGTACCTTGTTCTTCTTGAGACCTCAATATAGTTCTGTCTACCCTTTAAATCCATCAGGGAAATCCCCTTAGATGATCTCTTCCACAAAGTAGCCTTTTTGGTTGCCATCATATCTGTCTCTGATGTGTCTCTGAGCTAGCAGCCTTCTCTTGGAAGATGACATTTTTTAATCTTCACAAAGACAATGTAGGTTTATGCCCAAGGCTATTATTCCTTCCTAAGATGGTATCAATTGTCCACCTCATGATCATGCTTTGATCAGACAGATGGATTCCCTATTAGTACTATCCTTAGAACCTCACATGTGAAACCCTGCTACAAAATCTACAATCACTAGATGGACAAGACAACTCATCTTAAGAGCGTACACTCTAAAAGAAAAAGCTTTCAAACCTGCTCATGCCACCATGTTGGTGGGAGGCTTCTGGGCATTTGGACATCAAACCTCTGTTACCCAGCTTTGTAAGGCTATCAGCTGGACATCAAGTCTTTGCAAGAATCTTGTGAGTGAAAGCTGCATTCAGCAGTGGCACTCTGAAGTTGTATATCTGAAGTTTAGTCTTTTGATACCAGTTGTTGTTGGGCCTGTTGGTACAGTTCTGTTTGCCTAGTTGTTGCCCAGATTTCTCATTCATTGATTGGGGATGTCCTAGGGTCTGTGAATTTTCTGTCTGGGACCTGTACTGTATGAATAAAGTATAACTAAAGTCTTTTATTTTAGTTTTGGACAGAGTCGAGATGGATTCAAATGCCTGCCAGGTTTTATTGCTCTCTGTGTTCCTGTTAGAGAGATTCCCCCTTCCTATTGTCCTGTTTACCATTATCATTGAAACTGGAAGTAAGGAAAAAAAATTCTCAAATTTTAGGTTGGCCCCAGAACAGGTATAGAGGGGAAATCTTCCGATGGGGATCATGTTGGTGACAACCAGGGATTTCCTCATTTTAGAGGGATTTTTCTCTCACTTCCTGTTTTGGCTTTGGGACAGGAAGTGAAGGGAAATTGCCCCAATGTGTCATAGATGGCAAAAATAAACTCTACTGGGGTCTTAACCCTCCCTTACGCTATCCAAAATGAATAAAACCGTTTTTCCTTTAGTTCTATTTGAAGATAAATAGAATTTTTACTTCCCAGCCAATTCTATATCTTGGAGTACAGTACAGAACATAAGCCACCCTCCCTTATAATTCCATGTTACTCTGCATTAGTTGCTACAAAATAGGAAATACAGAATGAGGTAGGGTTATAGAGACACCCAGGTGGCAAGTCCAATCACCTGAAGGTACCAGTCTATAAATATTATGCATATGCCTTATACCAGTTTATGGAATTTACAGATAAGTTCAAATACTTTTTTTTTGTCTTATCTGTAATACCCTTTTCTTGGAATATATCACAAGACACAGGCTGGTAGTTTAGTCACCAGTGGGTTAAGCAGCTATGTTTAGGTGAAAGGACACTAGCAACACTTTAAGGACAGGCCAGCTTAACCCCTCCCACTATGCCTTCAGCTTTATAGCAAACAAAAAATAAGCGTGGATCACAAATATGGAGCCCGTGTCTTGTGGTGTACTCCAAGAACAGAAATTTACAGGTAAGACAAAATCCCATTTTCTTGATGGTACATTACAGGACACAAACAATAGCCAACATGCCAAATATTTGAGGAAATATTAAATACTGAAAAGCAGAAGTATTCTAGTAGAGTTCACTTGACTGGAAAAGAGGGGAGCCTTCCCCCTCAGTTTTATATGCATGAATACGGAGTTGCCAAATCCACCTAGCAACAAGTGGATTGAGAAGTCAGCTGATCGTTCAGGAATGACATTGTCAGACTGATGAATGAAGTTGTAGCCAAATGGTAAAATGAGAAAAGAGAGGAACTTTCTTTGGATACTCAGGCACAAGACACAGGCAAGATAAGAAGTCCTGGGTAAGGTGGAATGCAGCAATGAGGCCCTGGGCCTCAAATCATAGATTCTTTACAAGACAACACCGCCGGAGGCCTCCCTTTAGAAAAACTGAAGGCATTTTGGAGTGAGAGAGAGGATAATTTGGACTGTCTCCGCAACTTTGCTTTGCCAGTATTCACTTACCTATTGGTGAGTGAATTATCAGCCCGTGTCCTTTGATGTACAATCAAGAAATTAATTTCTACTTTTGTGATTGGTTCAAAGATTTTCTCAGAGATCGGCTCTGACATACAAGTAAAATCTCATCCAGGAATTAGTCTGGAATAGACATACTCAAACAAACAGAAATTTCTTCACATCAGGAAAAAGGAATCTGCAACAAAGTTTGTTAAAAATTCTTACAATGTACACATCACCCAGAGGGGATTCTTTTTTTCTCAACAAAAGTGGGTTTACACTTTAAACCCTTCAGCAATGGAAGAAAAAATAATATGGTGCATGCCTATCTTCCTTCAGCGTATTCTCTTTTGGTATACTTTAAAGCAAACCTTTAATAAAAGTGGGTTTGTTTTATTTTGTATTTTAAGAAGTCTTTGGTTTAGTGACCTGCACAAAGTATGAAGTTGGGTAACCACAGTTCTTTTTTTTTTTTTTTTTTTGTTCAGACAGTAGGCTGAAAGAAAAAAAAAAAAGAACAAATTGCCCCATCCACTCAGTGAGGTGGGACCCGAAAGCCTCCCCATTGCAAAATTATGTTCTAACAGTGCAACTCTCAGCTGTCAGAATACACCAAAAAAAAATCTGCTCTCAATCCTTCTCTTTGCTTGAAATGCTTTGGTCTTGTCCAGGGCACATCCCAAGCAATGGCTTCTTTCCAGAAAACAAAAAAAATATTCTCGGAGACCACACTTGAGAATTGTGGTCAAAGAGACAACCCACAATGAAATCCCCCATGAGAGTTTTAGGTCTCATGGTAGTCTCTGACACTGTACTATTTTCCCAGTTTTATTCAAGACCTCTCTAACACAACACCTTGTTGACCTGGAACAATCCTGTTCCTTCTCTCAATCTAGTCATGCTCTTGTACAGCCAAGCAAGGAATTCCCTAATTTATTGGTTCTCTGGCCAAACTTTAGCAGTAGGGAAGTCTTTCCTTCCCCATCACTGGAAAATTATAAAAAAAAGATACCAGTCCTTCAAGCTGGGGAGGACTGTTCCAGTCACATGGTCACCTGTGGAAGCCAAGCTCCCCATCAACATCCTGGAGCTCAGAAGAGTTTGGATGGCTCTACGAAAAACTCACCCCCCTCCTCCTCTGCAAAGACACCCAATCAGGGTGCAGTCAGACAATTCCACTGCTGTGGCTTACATCAATCACCAATGAGGCACCAAGAGTCTTGCAACCTTGAAGGAAGCAAACCAGATAATCACACAGATAACTCACTGTCCAGCAATCCATGCAGTCCACATCCTAAGAGTGGACAACTGGAAAGCAGACTACCCAATCCACCACCGATTGAATCAATGATAATTGTCCCTTCACTCAGATATCTTCAGTCTGATATGTCAGATATTGAGGGACTCTGTTTGTAGCCAATACCAAGGATCCTCTAGTGCTGGCCTTGGATTCCTTGAGAATTCCCTAGTCTCAATTAAGGTTATTTCTACACCTGTCCTCCAGTGCAAATTCTGCTTCCTCTGCTCAAAACGTTATAGCAAGAGAAGAAAATAGTGCATAGAACTGGCTCAGAAGAACTGGTACACAGACTTCTAGCAGATGTCCCCTGGCCCCTACCCAACAGGACAGATCTGCTGTCTCATGGCCCTCAATTCCATCCTGCTTCTCAGTCTCTGGTTTTAGTGGTATGGCTGTTGAAACTAGAGAGGCCTTTGAGTCTGATATTCCTACACCATAGGAAAGCAAGAAAAGCTACTTCCAGGGAGATCTACTATAGTAACTGAAAATCCTTCTTTGACTGTTGTAAACACAGGCACTTCAATTCCAGAAGCTACTCTGTGCCTCACATTCTGGCCTTACTACAATCAGGTCTTGTCAAGACATTGAAAAAGAATGAACAAGGCTGAAACCTGTCCTTTCAGAGTTCTTAGGGTCAAAAGACCTCTGGCTTTGCTCTCCTGTTTAAACTTTTTTTCAAGGCGTATCTCACATTAGGCCCCTATTGCAGCACCCTGTGCTTCCTTGGAATCTCAACTTGTTTTTTTCTGCCCTGTAGAAACCACCTTTTGAACTCAAAAGGGATATTACCTTAGGTGACCTTTCCTGCAAAGTAGCCTTTTTGGTTGTTATCGCACCTGTCAGGCATGTCTCTGAGTTAGTGTTTCTCTCTTGTAGGGAGCAATTCCTTATACTTCAGAATCGTGAGATGGATAAGAAATCTAATCACTAGAGCTCACTCTATCAAGGACAAATTACCTTCTGCGCTTTTACACTCCAGTAACACCAGATTCCTATTTTTCCTGGCACACATGAAGGTTAAATTGGTGCAACCTTACTGTAAGAGCATGCATGTTGATGACAACAGTTGCAAGAGCCACCTGCAGATCCCACAATGAAAATGTGGGGTCTTGTAGCACTGAACATCAAAACTTTTGTGGAACCACTTGTAGGTCATTTCCTAAAGTGGAATATTTAATTGCAAATAATTTGCCCATTTTAAGCCTTTTGCTACCAGAGCCATGGTTTTTTTTTTGGGGGGGGGGGGGGGGGGGACACACAAGTAGAAATGCACATTTTTAGGCCTGAAGATTAGTTTAAACCAACAAATAATATGTTTTTTGAAAACAGAGACCCTGAAGAATAAAAGGGTGGTGATTGCATTTTTTTTTATTCTTTTAGTCTATTTGCTTACCATTCTCAGAGATTGAGTGCTTGTTCACACTCAAATGCAATGCGGGAGAGCTGTTTTCCAGTGTGGCTTCCCGCACCACATTCCAATTGCAAAGCCCTTGCGATCTGCTGCAGGGGTCAGTTAAAGTTAACGATACCTTAAACGCAGGCCACAAACGCATTGTGGTTAACCACACCGGCTCACACCAAAACCGCATGGTACAAAGTACCATGCAATGTGGTTGCCGTGCGTTTAAAAAGTAGTAGTGCATGCACTACTTTTAGCGTGGTGCGGTGCGATTTCATCCCATTCAAATGAATGGGCATGAAATCGCACCATATAGACCCATATATGAATCGCATAGGAACGCACAGCGTGTTCCTGTGCTATTCATATCAAGACAGTGTGAACCGGCCCTGAAAGTGAAACAAATTCTCCAATTCTGTATTGTCACCAGAACAGGAATAGATGGGAAATCTTCCAATCAGGACACTAGTTCTGGTTCTTTCTACTTGCTGTTTTATATATGACACAGGAAATGAAAGGAAATCTCACCAATGGGACACATTGCATTGAGTAAAGTGATACTAAACATATCATGCTTAAAAACTGCACATGCCCATGAAATGGTGACAAACTTCAGTGCCCAAACTTATCCATAGGTGAAGCTATAAAAACCTTTACTGGTCATCAATTTATTGTTAACCACAATGATGACCATAGAATTATTGTTTTTACTCCAGCTTGCATGGTAATACCGAATATGTGTACCACAATTGTAATTTGCACATGAAGGTGCACCTGATGTTCACATTTACATTTCTACCTGCTCCACCTGACATGGCCGACTTGGGCACATGGGTCGGACAGCACAACATGGGATACATGGTGAGGGATCTTGATATGAAAACACATGTCAACAGTAAACAGAACATAAGACCCTAGATCTCAAGTTTAAATAAGACTCCTTAAGGAGGTTCTAGTCAATGGCACCTAATCTGAACACCTCATTCTGATCTTGTGAATTTGAAGTGGTGGTAAATACAGAGGTTTACTTACTTTTTCACGCTGACAAATCTGCAAGTTCGTTCATTTAGAACAAGGTTCCTCAACAAGGGTTCCTCCAGAGGATGCTAGGGGTTCCTTGAGCAATTTCTGCCTCTCATATAACTTCCCACTGACACCATTGATCTTTCTAGCTACCTAAAAGGGGTAATTCTTACCAATGGCCACAAATCTAAAATAAAACACGTTTTAGAAGGGGTATGTACAATGTGCTCAACTAGACACTGTTTACTGACTTTTTCAACATATTTGAACTGGCAGCCATTAGATCTGTTTTCCATTTCCATAATAAGTTCTTACTTTTTCATATGAAAATGATAAATACACACCATATAATTAATCTTAGTTTATAATTAGAGGAAAAGATACATGTCTTACTGGGTGTAGTCGAAGTATTCTTTGTGTTGGTTTCGGTAAAAAACTGAAAATTTCAGCATACGTCCTGCAATTGCTTCAGCTTTCTCCATAAGCTGTGTTAGATGCACCTTTGAATAATCTGCGAAGAAAGCAAGAAAATAGCTTCATTGCCTGTTACTCTGAAGGAAGAGCTCTTTTACAATATTCCATGTTACGGTCAATGAAATTTGAAGGAATATGTTTCAATGGTTGTTGAACACAGAATAAAGGCAATATATTATAGTAATACAATGCATCAGTAATATCATCCTAACAGAACCTACAATAGGAAAAGCAGAGGTTGCCACTGATGTCCAGTGTCGCTGATGTTAGAAACAGCCAGGAAAATAGAGTATGTTCATGACAAGTATGCAACAAGTGAAGGTAGAACTTCATGCTTTTCAAGGGCAGCCTCCATATTTCTATTTTCCTGGCTGTACCCACTGAGCCAGAACAAGGGACGACAAAGGCACAACTCCTTCTTAAAAAAAATGTGTAGATATATGTAGATGACAGCAGTAGCAGCACCAGTATTTCTTTCATGACATTCCTATAGTTTGTCATCTGTTTTGTTTTTATCAAATCCAATCTAAAGAAATCCCAGACGGTGTGAACCACTCAGTCAGACCTGCCTAAATGGAACCTGTCAGAATTCAAATATGTTAGCTGCTATCCATGGCTGGGTTTAGAAGTTGGTGTGATCCTGACCACCTCCTTCACTTGTTGAATACGCATTCTAGATCCACAACTTGCAAAGCAGTGAAGTATTTGGAAACACTCATTCTGTAGTAGTAAAGCAAAGATTTACATTGCAGCCCTGAACTCCGCTTTTCTAAAAAGTCAGCAATGACAGCTTCCAGATGTCTATCCTAATGGCTTCCCTTTAACAATCAAAATTCACTAAAGCATTTTATACAAACCAATGTAATATGTTTTATTTTTATTGCAACATTAGCTTAGAATTTTTCATGTGGGCATGTGGGATTTCTGTGCCTGCCTTTCAGTTGTCCCTGTTCTGCCTCCAGCAAGGAAAATTGTTATGCCTGTCCTGCCTGCAGTATTAAATTTGGCCACTAGATAGAACTCAGAATACATATACTGTTTACACAAACTAAAGACTGTTTAGCCTAATAAAAAACTCCTTCATTTTAAGAAAATAAACAGGTGCATCCTGGGAACTCAGACTCCATCTGAAAGTGGAACTTTACCTATAACAACTTCACACATTAACCACTTGCCCTCCTGAGGATTTACCCCCCTTCCTGGCCAGGACATTTTTTGCGATACGGTGATGCGTTACTTTAACTGACAATTGCGCGGTCATGCAATGCTGCACCCAAATTAAATTTACGTTCTTTTCTCCCACATATAGAGCTTTCTTTCCGTGGTATTTGACTGCCTGTGCATTTTTAAATTTTTGCGCTATAAACAAAAGACTGACATCTTTGAGAAGAAAAACAATATTTTTGACTTTTTGCTATTGAACATGTCCAGTAAAAACATTTAAAAAATCAAATTTCGTCATGAATTTATGCTAAAATGTATCCTGCTACATGTCTTTGCTAAAAAATAAAATTCCCAATACGTGTAAATTAATTGGTTTATGTGAAAGTTAAAGCGTTTATAAATGGCAGTATATATACACTAAGTTTTTTTTGGTTTTTTGTACTAGTAATGGCGGCAATCAGCGACTTATAGCGGAACTGTGGCGGGCATCCTGACACTGGGGGGAACTGACTTGGTGTCACTGACATCTCCAGTAACACCAATACAGTGATCAGTGCTAATAAAATCACTGACACTGTACTAATGGCACTGAACAGGTAGGGGTTAACATGTGGGGCGATCAAAGGGTTAACTGTGTGCTGTTTCACTGTGTAAGTGCTTTACACTGTAAGCACACTGCTTTGTATGGCTCTGCTATGCAGCACCATACAGAGCAGTGTGCAGGAACTGACAGGGGAGAGATCTGTGTTGTTTATACACAGGTCTCTCCCCAGTCGGAGATACTCGGCGATCACCGGGTGCCAGCGAGAAATCACCGTCCAGGACCCGGTGATTGACAGCTGAGGCCACGAATGGCGGTGCAGGTAGGGGCGTGCGCCCCCTACTTGGTACTGCAAAATCACATGTATAATATACGAGATTTTGCACACCAGTGCTGCCCTGTAGTAGTATTTCTGCTATAGGACGGCGTGTAAGCAGTTAATAATTATGCTTCCAAAATGAGTGTGTGCCCTAAATTGCCTTGTTCCAGTTTCTTCTTGCTGGAGGCTACCATTTTACAGAAGCCCAGAGCCCCTGAACAGCAGTAAATAATAAAGTGGAAATAAACCAATCGATTTAACAGTTTTTAAAAACAGTTACATTCCTGGAATGCTGGGATTGCCTACTGTCACATTTGTTTGTGTCCTCAACCAAACTGTCAAATCAAATGTCTGGTGTCATAATGGATCACATTTGCAACACTATGACAGTTGCAGATCAAACAGAAGCAGCTTTCTTGGCTGTAAAGGAAGGGAAGGTTTAATTCTGCTTTACGGCTGTCAGCAGATCAGCCTCTACAAATTCGGCAGTACCTAAAAGTACAGAGCAATTAGGCATGTGTAGAGCAGGGTGATACAGTGTATTAGTGAATTGAAAACAGTATATGCACTTATTTGTCATGTTTTACATAGCTGTACCTGCAAAACGGGTCAACCTAAAGTGATCTAGCAGGACTTCATTTTCTAACATACCAGAACGTCAGAGGGAAAGGAACCAGCAGGCATAATCCTCTACAGAACATGTTGTGGATTGAATTTACATCCCTTTAGGCAGCATCAGTGGTGAGCACATTTTTTTAATGCCATCTATAACCCAATCATTTTTTTGTGTTTTCTGTGTGTCTCATGCTTGATCGCTTGTATTTCTTTGTTTTTTTAATAGTTTCACCCACAGTGTTTTGTTAATAAAGCTTCAAGATTACATTCAGTCTGGCTAATTGCAGAATAGGAGGGTTTAGCTGCATGTCGAGTTCAGTGGCAGACTGACAACTCATGGGGCCCCCGGGCAATAGGGGATCATGGGGCCCCTGTGTCCTTGCCCAAACTCAAAAAAAGCCTATGAAAAAGGTACCAGGGGCCTCTCATGGTGCCCCCTACTGACCCCAGGCCCTCGGGCAGTGCCCGAGTTTCCAAATGGTCAGTCCACCCCTGGTCGAGTTACACACAGGGAAAAGAGCAGCGAGGACAGAACATCCTCCTAATGGTCATGAGAAGATTTTTGGGGCTTCTTAATTACTATGTAAAGGCCATGCTTGCAAAATTCAGCCAATTTGTAATAAAATCAGTTAAACATTGGCCACAGAGAGCTCCAGCTTGCCCATAAAATGTACACATGAACGGGTTTTTAATCTTTGGGAGGAATTTACAGACGAAATCTGAAGTGGCTGTGCATGATAACCAAACAGCTTCTAGCATTTGTTTTCAAAACGTAAAGTGTTACTAAACCCCGGACCCTGGATTCACTATATCTGGTCTCCCACAGTACACAGAACATGGAAGCGCAATTATTTTAGTAAACATAAACTGCTAAATACCTTTTCTAATCAGCAGTTAGAGCAGTCTTGTGACTTCTATCACTGTCCAGCTGAGCACATATTAAAACTTGTAGGAGTTTTCATTATTCTCTGGGAGGATGCAGGACCCCTGACCTCTGTCTAAACAGTGCTGATTCGCCCTGTGCTGATCACATGCACACTCCCAAAAAAAAAACCCAAAACCTCTCTAGCAATGCACACCAAACTGAACATGTGCAGAGTATCTCCACACGACATGTCTTATCAGGAGATAAGAGGGGGACACTGGAAGAATGGGAGGATCAGAGAAGTCAGGATCAAACAGTGTTTTTACACAATGCAGAGGATTAACCCCTTAGGTTAAACAGTGTGTATAACAAGCATCCTTTACTGCATGTACAGACTGATTTTACGGTTGTGGGTTTAGTAACACTTTAAGGCTGGCCCTACACTATACAATTTTGAGAATTTTTCTTTAGATTTACCAAAAACCATATAATATGAGGTCAAACCTAAACAACACTTTCAGTTGTATCAAATTTGGCAGGCCCTTGCACTACATAGTTAAAGGTAAATCTAAAGGAAATTGGGCAGAAAATGGACAGAAAATTGTATAGTGTATGGCCAGTCTAACTGAACAAGTTGAAGAAAGAAACTTGTTACTATGCAGAGCTGCTCCAGATTCTGTCTACTTCAGTTTTAGTACATTTCCCTCTCTTGAATGCAAGGCCCTGTGTACAAAGAGGAATAAGAAAGTCATATGAGAACACTGAATAATGCTTTACCCATTATAACTGTTCAGCACACTATACTAGTATAGCTAGAACATAAAACTTAGCAATGGATTTATAGCAGCCAAAGACATTGTACCCACCATGGCCAACTAAACACGTATTACATTAATTAATAAACAGAATTAAAATGCTCATAAAAGAAAACAATTCCAAACATATTTTCAATTCATCATATGGTTGTTTTTGCTTCTTCAATGCAATGGTTATTGTTTGTATCCAACAAACTAAACTCATCCTGTGTGTAGCCACCCCTGGCTCTTTGTTTGCGGTTAGGCTCTAATTCATATTCATGTAGGAAGCACTGACCTACGTGTCAACCTCCACTAACCACAGTAGTAAATGAAGCTCTTTATGTGTGCTAGCACATCTGAGAAATGGGATGTTTTATTGATTGCTTCATATACCCATTACTGCCACTGGTTAATTCTCCATGGGATTTCAGTGATGGCATGCGCTACTAAAATCTGCAAAGCGCCCCCTGTTCTCTGATTACAGGGTCTGAAACTACAGACCTTTTTGTTGTTTTCAAATAGGCCAAACACTGGCAAGGTTTAGGCAGTACCACCCCATTACTCTACAAAGAGAATGGGAAAAGGGTTGCCAGAAATTCAGCTATTGCATCACCAGTAGTCTCCATGGGGGACACTTACTAAAACCGGTACACACAGAAGCTGATTGGTTACCATTCACAACTGCACCAGATTCTAACTTCAGCTTTTTCAGCTAAAACCGGTACACACAGAAGCTGATTGGTTACCATTCACAACTGCACCAGATTCTAACTTCAGCTTTTTCAATTAAAGAATAAGTTCTTTTAAAAAAAAAAAAAAAAATAAATGCACATTTTTTTGCACGTAAAGTACGTGCAGTTGCTATTTTTCTTTTTAAGAAGGTGGAGCCCTGCACAGCTGCACTAATCTTCAAATTGTGACAGTGGGTGCAGGGAGATGATTCCCCGCCCGTTGTCACAGGGAGGGGGGATCGGGGTGGAGAGGAGGCAGATGCTGGAACATGTTTCATGTTCCACCCTAAAAATGGGTGAAACATGTAACATGTTCCAAAGGTGAGCCTTTAAAGTGTTACTAAACCCAGGACCCTGAATTCACTATATCTGGTCTCCCACAGTACACACAACATGGAAATGCAATTATTCTAGTATATATAAACTGCTAAATACATTTTCTCATCAGCAGTTAGAGCAGTCTTGTGACTTCAGCTGAGCACTGGTTAAAGCTTGTAGGAGGAGTTTTCTTTCTGCTGTAGGAGGATGCAAAACCCTGATCTCTGTCTGAACAGTGCTGATTGGCCTTGTGCTGATCACATGCACTCTCCCAAGAAAAACAAAAACCTCTAGCAATGCACACTAAAGTGAGCATGTGCATGTGGCTACAGGTTCAGTCTGTCTTATCAAGAGATAAGAAGTGGACATTTGAACAAGAAGAGGGACAAAGAAGAAAGTATCAAAAATGGCTTTCTTACACAATGCAGAGAATGAACCCCTTAGGTTCTGCAATGAGTATAACAAGCATGCTTTACTGCATATACAGACCGATATTACTGTTGTCGGTTTAGTAACACTTTAAGCTTTGACAATAAAACCTAGAAGCTGATTGGTTACTATGCACAGCTACGCCTAATTATGTGTGCACAATTTCCAGCAAATCTTCCCCTATGGGTCCTGAATTAAAGCTTTAGGGACACAAAGGAACTGTGCTGATGATCATCATTCTGATTCACAAAGAAGGTTGCTATTGTCTCTCCAGCAGCAAGATCTCCCTCCCATACTTCTGAGCTCCGCTCCTTTCTCACTGGTAGTTTTGGGTATCCCCACCCAATTTTGTATTTCAGCCACTTTTTTTTACATTTTCTATTAACTAAAATAACACTCAACAAGAAGAATGAGAACCCCCCATAATTACTGCGGCAAGTGTTCAAATGCAGAAGCTCAAGCACAGATCTCACCAATACAGAAAATTGTCAGGTGGTTAAACTCTCTGGTATGTATCAAGACTGAAATATTAGGGACTAACCTTTTCAATGTCTTATGCTTTGAGAAATCTGACTTAAGCATCATGAATCAGGAACTGTTTTAGCTCAGTACCTTAATGGTAAGAACAGTGGTACACTGGAATCAGACATCCTACTATTTCTTAAAAATATAGATCCACTTAAAAATATGCAATCTCAAAAAATTGCAATAAGGCAAGCAATGCTGAAAATGTGGCTTATAAATATCCCATTGCCATTTTTACCTGCAGTGCAGAATTCAATAATTTCACTCCACTCTGACACAGCATAATCTCCATCCATCTGTTTTGATGCAGTCTGGACAGCCACAGTGTACTCGGTCCTTGGGCTCAAAAACCAATGTCCACGAACAGTCATTGGCAGGGGGACGGCTTTAGCTACCAGTTTAGTGGGAACATCCTAGGAGTAAAGAAAAAAAAATATATCTATAAAAACAACAACAGATATATGTATGAAACCCCTTGTAGCACTATTTACAATTGAATGAATAGTTGAACCATAGTCATCCAACACAAAACATGTAAAATTAAGGACATTTTTCATGACTACATAAAACTACTACTTACCATAGGTTTACCTTAAAGCATCCATTCTCAACTAGGGCTCCATGGAACCGTTGGGTTCCTCCAGGGGTAGGTAGAGGCTCCATGAACTGTGGCTAATTGATCTCTCCTCTGATGTTGACTGATTAGTTCCAGGGCCAACATTTGGCAGAGCTAGCTACATGACTGTAAGAGTCGTTCTGACCTCTACGGTAAGGATGGAATTCTTCCCACTTCCCACCACCAATGTAAGATGCATTTTCCCAATGATGCCTGACAGACTAATCTTACTAGGGGTTCCCCGAGATCTGAAAATTATTTCCAGGTTTTCTCTGGTGCAAAAGGGTTGAAAAAGGCTGTTTTAAAGTAAAACTAAATGCTACTATGCCAAAACAAGGCTCCTGCTGTGAGTGGAAAACCCAGACTACAATACAGGGAACAGTAGCCTCTTTATGACTTTCATTGTAAGCAATTCATCTTCAGTGCCTGTTCACACTAGATGCCTTGCAATGCATTTTTTTAAGCATGTTTAGAGAGCATCCACAGTGTTGCCACGTATTACAATGGCCCTAGTGCATAACAATGCAGTCAGTTTCAGTGCTTTCAACAAAAGTACAACCAACTGCACTTTTTTTGTCTGGAATGCATCAAAATGTATGTCAATTTTGCACTGGAATGCACATTGTCCTACTGAAAATAAACATCCTTCAAATGTCAAAATAAAAAAAAAGAAAAAAAAAAAAACGCACTGGACTGCATAGAAAATGTGCCAAAAGCATAAATGTGCATGCAAAAATATATTTGGAACACAAAGTATGGTGTGAGCCCTTAATGAACATGAAAGTAATTAAATAATAACTTACTAAATATGTTTTAAGTCAGAAGGAGACTCCTGCTCCTTGTACCGGGGTCTGTTTTTATCAGTCAGTAGCCTTGTTCTGACTAAAGCTGGTCATACACCAATAGTTCAGGCTGCATGCTAAACTAACAGAAGCCTACATCTGTGCTACTATTCCTAGTGTATTTTGTACTGCCTTCATCTGCGCTGTGACCTCCTGCTATTCCCATATTTTTTATCTGACCGGACACTGCCCACATCTGCACTGTGACCTCCTGCTATTCCTAGTATATTTGTATCTGGCAGGACACTGCCTTCATCTGCACTGTGACCTCCTGCTATTCCTAGTATATTTGTATCTGGCAGGACACTGCCTTCATCTGCACTGTGACCTCCTGCTATTCCTAGTCTATTTGTATCTGGCAGGACACTGCCCACATCTGCACTGTGACCTCCTGCTATTCCTAGTATATTTGTATCTGGCAGGACACTGCCTTCATCTGCACTGTGACCTCCTGCTATTCCTAGTATATTTGTATCTGACCGGACACTGCCCACATCTGCACTGTGACCTCCTGCTATTCCTAGTATATTTGTATCTGACCGGACACTGCCTTCATCTGCACTGTGACCTCCTGCTATTCCTAGTATATTTGTATCTGACCGGACACTGCCTTTATCTGCACTGTGACCTCCTGCTATTCCTAGTATATTTGTATCTGACCGGACACTGCCCACATCTGCACTGTGACCTCCTGCTATTCCTAGTATATTTGTATCTGGCAGGACACTGCCTTCATCTGCACTGTGACCTCCTGCTATTCCTAGTATATTTGTATCTGGCAGGACACTGGACACACTGTGCCTTCTAGTATATTTGTATCTGGCAGGACACTGCCCACATCTGCACTGTGACCTCCTGCTATTCCTAGTATATTTGTATTTGTATCTGCACTGTGACACTGCTATTCCTAGTATATTTGTATCTGGCAGGACACTGCCTTCATCTGCACTGTGACCTCCTGCTATTCCTGTATATTTGTATTGCACTGTGACCTCCTGCTATTCCTAGTATATTTGTATCTGACCGGACACTGCCTTCATCTGCACTGTGACCTCCTGCTATTCCTAGTATATTTGTATCTGACTGGACACTGCCTTCATCTGTGCTGTGACCTCCTGCTATTCCTAGTATATTTGTATCTGACCGGACACTGCCCACATCTGCACTGTGACCTCTGCACTGTATATTTGTATCTGACCGGACACTGCCCACATCTGCACTGTGACCTCCTGCTATTCCTAGTATATTTGTATCTGGCAGGACACTGTCCACATCTGCACTGTGACCTCCTGCTATTCCTAGCATATTTTTTATCTGACCGGACACTGTCCACATCTGCGCTGTGACCTCCTGCTATTCCTAGTATATTTGTATCTGACTGGACACTGCCGCTTCTCATTTGATGACTTGATAACTGTCTACCCAGTTTCTTCAATTTTTAATCTGGGGATGTCGGACAGGAGGTGGCCCACCCACCAAGTGAATTTCATACAGTGTATGGCCAGCCTTACATAGTAAAGGATTCTTTTTTTCTTCTCTCATTGGCTCTTAGTCTCACTGTAGCTGACATGCCCACTTCATTTAGTAACCAGACATGCCCAGAAATCGGCCTTTGTAGGGAGGGGCAGAGAAGCAGGAAGCCATTAAAAAAAGATAAGATTTTCTTCCAAAATACCTTGATGAATTATTGCAAATACAAAGCAATGTGCAGTGGGTATAGAAAAGATTCACCCCCTTTAAAATAATCACAATTTGTGATTATTTTAAATGCGGGGGATTCTTTTCTGTACCCACTGTATCTGTACAGGCATGTTTTATATCAGATTTTTTCTTGTTAACGAATCATGAAAATCAATCTTTAAGGAAGCATGGCATAATGCAGCCAGCCATGAGCTTGAGTGGTTTATATGCAATGTCACAACTACCTTCACAAACATATAATAAAAAAGAAGGATGTATGCAAGGACAGAAATAACCAACCGAAACCGAAAATTGCCAGACTAGACACAAGCAGCAAACTAGAAGAGAGCACACAAGTGGCGCAAAAACCTAGTACATTATCCAAGGTTTATTAAAAAGTATAAAAAGACAAAAACATACTCACAAACGTACTGCATATATAAAGCCTGTAAGGCGACAGAGATGGCCAAAATGATGGCAGAGTGTCCAACTGGTGGTATGATCGGTCATTTGACGTGTTTCGAGGACATGTCCCTTTCCTCAGAGCTCTGGGGAAAGGGATATGTCCCCAAAACACATCAGTAGGCCAATCATACCACCAATCGGACACTCTGCCATCATTTTGGACATCTCTGTGGCCTTACAGACTTTATATGTGCGCTAAGTATGTATGTTTTTGTCTTTTTATATTTTTTAATAAACCTTAGATAATGCGCTAGGTGTTTGCGCCACCTATGTGCTTTCTTCCAGTTCGTTGATCTCCCCATGTGAGGAGGGCTGCATCTCCAGGACTTTATCCATAGGTCATTCACACACCTGATCCCCTGGCCTCTCCCTGGTATTGACACCTGGAGAGTTAGTACTTTAGACACAAGCAGCCTACTACCGCTCACCAGAGTGCACAGGTACTCTTATTAACTGCAGACCTTCTGATATCTGTTTAGGTCATATGACTTGCAGTCTGTGAGATTCTGTGTATTCTGGTATCTGCCCAAGTCCTAAGACTTGCAGTCTGTAAGATTCTGTGTATGTGCATATCCAATGTTGGATTTATAAGGGGGCAAAAGGGGCAACTTACCTGGGCCACCTGACAGAAGGGGCCCCCCTCTATACAAAAATAATATAAAACTATATAACATAATAAACAATAAATAAAATAATTTTAAATATAAGATAAATACTTTCTTTTATTAAATGAATCTTGGTAAGTAATAGTTTGCCTGCCATCATTACTGCTCTACCTGTCCTCTTGCACTAATAGCTGCTTCCTCAAGAAAAATAATATGACACATCTCACTAGAGTCATAATTTGGTTTTAAAATCTGCTCTTGCATCTTCCATTAAATCTGGATGCCTCCATGCCTTCTGTCAATCTTCTCTCCATCAATTTTACAGCCAATGCAATTGAAGGCTTTCTGAGCAGATCACCTCCGTGGAGTTAAAAAAAGAAATGTATTAATTGAGAATAGCAGTACTGGGGCTTATGAGGCACAGAGGTGTCTTGCAATGATAAAACACATTGAGCAGTTCATCCCAAGATGCACATTCCATTGTCTTCGGACTGTTCTGTGCCTAGTATGGATGAAATTATACATTTTAATTGAGGGATTTCAAAATGGAATAGTCTGATAGTCTGTTCAACTTTTTAATACAGTTTAACTTTGTTTGCAAGCAATTAAGACAGCCGTCATTATTATTCATTTAGGCTTCATTCTGCGCACTTAATGAGGCAGTTCTGGGTCATTACTCTATTTGCTGATGGGTAGCAGAGCTTAAGAGCTTTAGGGTACGATATGCAAATTGTTCAAGAAAAATCAACTACTTCATGAGCTGTCATCTTGTTATTAAAAGGCAAGCATCGCCTCAATTAAATCTGCCTGTAGTGAGCGCTGTCATACTGCAGCCTCTGAAATGGGAAATACAGGGAATTGAGCACGTCTTTTCAGTTTTAAATTGATGTTGGTAGATTAATAAAAAAAAAAAATAAAACAGAGTGGGAGTTAAACTCTTAGGAACTTGGGCAAAGGTTCTTTGAAGTTCCCAGCTCCTCCATTATACTGGGACCATATCAAGGAATACTTTGGTTTTATTTTGGCTATAATGTGAAATGTGAAGCAGCGCTACAGGGAGATGTACTTTGCTGCTATAGTTGGCAGTAAAGTTGGCACCCACTCAAAATTAAACAATTTAAATTCAATAAGATCTGTATGTAAATTAATATACAATATTTTTC